AATGTTTTCAGAGCTATCTCTTTTGTGAGTAAAAACAAGTAGCATTTAACCCAAAATTAAGGCGAATACCAGGAACTACTTTTAGTTGTCCGGGTGAATGAGGACAAAATCCTGAGTTAAAGTTTATCTGTAGTTTCCTCATTAACCACTGAATTCAAGAAGTCAGCCTTTTATAAACTGCCTAGAGCTAATTCAAGGATGCTAATCGATAAACCACATGACTTGAAATCGCAAATTTCGAATTTCCTTAGATTTTAAGCTGCCTAAATACATCCAAACGTCTGTACAAATTTCAGTTCCTTGCTGCCCAATTAGTCCACATTAAAGGCATCGACGGAACGGAGCTTTAACGATCTTTAACTGGAGATGTTTGTTAAGCGATTGTTAACTGTACTTAAATTCATTATTTGATATCAATATTTTTAATGTAATTGATTTTAACCAATTTACACAAATTTTTTGGATTTTATGATGTATTCGTGTCTCGAGCTTGTAGTAATCTTCAGGCATACCGGGATTTTAGCAGTCTTTTTCAAAAACACCAAGGATCACAGATAAACGGTTGATGTTCCTTTTAAATTGCGTTCACCGATTGTGTAGTGATCGTGAACTTAGGCCTGTTTCAAACGTCGTGCTACTGCCGCGCTAAGCATTGTGGCTCGACGGTAGCTCGACTGCAGCACGACACTAGCACAACTTGGTTTCAGACGTCGAATTTAATTTAGTCGAATAGAGCGGCTGCTATGCGGAAAAAAAACACAAAAATAAAGAAACGGTTTAGCAAACTTTTAAATGTATTCTAATGTATTTATAATTATTTTATGAACTGAGTCCGGCACGGCAGTAGCGCGACGTTTGAAACCAAGTCGAGCTTGCTACACTGCAGTAGCATGACTTGGTTTTAAACGTCGCACTACTGCCGTGCTAAAGTCGAATTTAGTTCGGCACGGCAGAAGCACGACGTTTAAAACGGGCCTTAGGCATGCGTACCTTGCCCATAACAAAAAAGAAAGACTGGTAGAAAGAAAACCAGTGACATATCAAACGATATTTATTATCCTGAATTTATTATTTATTCTCCCCAATTTCTTATTTGCTTATACTGTACATAGTTTTTCTTAATTTCTTAATTATTATATCCTGTTTTTTCATTTTCATTTTTAATTAATTGATTTATATTGATTTATTTTTTTTTCAGTGTCCCCACTTAGTGGTTATACGCCGCTATTACAGTTTGGTTTAAAGTGTCATCAGCATCATCAATATTATATAATTATAATAATTATTATTATCAATTATAATTATTATCATCATTTTTTTCAGTTCTTCTCGAAGTATTTTATACAATTTTGACGTCCTAAGTTAGATTGTTGAAAAGATCAATTCTTTTTTTGTAATTTGTTTACCCACAAAGCACTTAAGAGTTTTTATGAACTCGTTGAAACATGATCGAACTGGAATTTGAAAGTACTGGTTTTTGAGGACAGAGGAAAACCGGAGTTCCCGGGAGAAAAACCTCTCGGAGCAAAGGAGAGGACCAACAACAAACTCAACCCACATATTAGACTTGCTACGAGTTGACCTCTCATAAGTTCTTTGCGAGAGAAGCGAGCTTCAACGAGGTCACGCTGCGACGAAGGAATAACCAACCAGGAAATGAAAAACCAAACGGGAAAAGATTTTAAAGGACTTTTAGAAAGTCTACTCACATATGGCGTCGACGCCGGGATTGGAGCTCCGGGGACTCATTGGTGGGAGGCTAGTGCTCTCAACACTGCACCACCCATGCTCTCATATATATAGAGAGAGCAAAACAAAAAATTTCGTAATTCTTATAAAAGAGTTAAGGACAAAAAATCATGAGATGCACCAGGTAAAGTTCCCTGCCAAAGTCCTCTTTCAATTACAATAAAGTTAAAAGTTTTCTAAATTAATCAACTATGCGACAATGTATGCGACCCAGTGCCAGGAATTCTGGTATGAAAGATACTGAGTGTTTCTTTCAATTTTGTGTCGAGAGATTACGATGCCACACCATCCCGGCATTTTGTTCTTTTTCACGGTTTCTTGTTTCGTTAATAAAACAGAGCAGTTTGGTCCATTTTCTCTGCAAATACTTCCAGTCGTTAAAGAGTAGTTTTCGTAATTTTTCTTATGCTGTTAAAGGGATAAATCTTAGCCGTATTGAGAATTCACTATTCTTTCACCCTTCTAAACGGAAAAAACCTGTAAAAAACTAGAAACTTCTCTTTTCAATTTTTTTTTGTTTGTTTGATCGCGTATGCACTTTTGTTATCTATTTTTTGCATCGTAACTTTGGTTCCCTGTCTTCTGCCTGACCAGTAACTGACGGCAGAAACGGTGACAGCGACGTTAATAAGCTCATTTTATAATTTATAGCAAACATGTAATATTCCTTTTTTATGCAAGTTTTATAATTATATCAGTGCAAAAATATAAAGGAAATTAAGGCTCGCTGTATTCCAATCTAAGCATAAACATATACGGTTATGTTCACGTACGCCGGATATGTAACTGTGAAAATAAGCAACCACAACTGCAACGGCAAGTTTTATAATATACCAGGGCAAAAATATAAAGGAAATTATTAAGATTTAAGCATAAATATATACGTTTATGTTCACGTACCCCGGATATGTAACTGTAAACATATTTGGGGGCTTACTCAACCACAACTGCAACGGCAAGGAGGAAGTAAAAAAAAAAAATTCTCATCAGGAATACCCACATACAAAGCAAAATAAACCCCATTTCATGAGGTGTGGGAGAATCGGTCCTAGGCTTTACGACCTTTACAAGTCGCCGGTTAGTCTGTTCAGAGTCGGTAGACCAGGAGCCATCACTGCGGGGAGGAGAGTTAGACGAGAACTCGATCCTAGGAAGGACGCCCGACCTAACTTTAGAAGAATAGGACCTTTGCAGCTAGTCATTCACGTGGTACAAAACCGCCATGCTGGAGAGCAAAAGTCGCACTGGAACAAGAACGACAAAGGAAATTACCATTTTAAATTATGTATGCCTTTTTTTGTCTTGTTCCAGTGCGACTTTTGCTCTCCAGCATGGCGGTTTTGTACCACGTGAATGGCTAGCTGCAAAGGGCCTATTGGCGAATCCTTGTTTACATTTTTTGCCTCACTAACACAGGCTTATAATTATCTGATGAAGCTAATAAAACGAAATTTCTGAATATTGAAAGAGTAAAACAATCTCAGTTATCTCTAATAATTTGAGCCCGATATACCAAATTGTTTCGGAGAAATTCTCTTTGAAAAAACCCCAAAATTTACAAAGAATGCATGAGCTCATTAACGTTTTGCCGCCCAGTAACCTTGCAGTTTTTAATTGCCGCTATTTTTTTTGTTACTGATGGCAAAGAGCTGAAACTTGCACAAACTGCATAAGTTAACCAGCTATTTTAATTTTTGAACCTAATTGGTATATACGGCTACATCTTCTGTGGGTATGCTAACGAGCAAAACTGTAGACTATGACGTCACGATGGATCCACCTATTGGCTTAATAGGTCATTTGCACGATGGCGCCATTTTACTACTTCGACCAGAATCCTTTTCGTTCTTTCTTTCATATTCAAATTTTGTAATCCTAGTGAGGTTTAAATAACAAAAGCCCTAATTTACACAAGAAAGCAAAACCCTGAAGGATTCTTGTCGTAGTAGTAAAACGATGTCTTAGTGCAAACGACCTATTACCATGCAGGCTGCTCCTTAATCTGAGAGAGAAGGGCTCCTGGTCTGTGGGAATGCTGTATATTTCCCAGGGTCACGGTAAGAATGTTGGGTTGTGCAGCATCCTTCTATGGTCTGAGGAGCGGTCCCCGAAGAAAAAAATGTGAAGTGAAAAAACACGCATCTATACTTACTGCGCTTTTCACAAACATGCGAATCCTGAAGTTCAAAAGCCAACCGACGTTTGCGTTTTTCGCTGTCGTCAATCATCTTAACGGACCTCTTAGGAAACAAAACTTTACTTTAACGGGTTCAAAAGGTCATAGATTGTGATTTCTGATTGGTGGATTTCGATCCGTTTTGTGAGTTTCTGTGTTTCAAGGTTGTTGCTTGTGATCGTAATTATGATTGACGGCAGCGAAAAACGCAATTGTGAAGGCGGCTTTTGAACTTTACAGTTCGCATGTTTGTGAAAAGCGCAGTAAGGTGTAGAGGGTGATAGGCGGGGTATAAGGCGGGATGNTGAAAAAACACGCATCTATACTTACTGCGCTTTTCACAAACATGCGAATCCTGAAGTTCAAAAGCCAACCGACGTTTGCGTTTTTCGCTGTCGTCAATCATCTTAACGGACCTCTTAGGAAACAAAACTTTACTTTAACGGGTTCAAAAGGTCATAGATTGTGATTTCTGATTGGTGGATTTCGATCCGTTTTGTGAGTTTCTGTGTTTCAAGGTTGTTGCTTGTGATCGTAATTATGATTGACGGCAGCGAAAAACGCAATTGTGAAGGCGGCTTTTGAACTTTACAGTTCGCATGTTTGTGAAAAGCGCAGTAAGGTGTAGAGGGTGATAGGCGGGGTATAAGGCGGGATGCGCTGTGCCCAGATACATACAGCTAGTTTGACTCTGCCTCGTCCCCAGTCGCTCGCGACCGCTGGGAAATATTTGAGTTAATTATAGGAAAGCGCTCGACGTTGTGCGCTCGTTCCTGTCATCCCTCTCTCACGCTTCTCGCTTCTCTCTATCGGCTTGTCTCGCGTGCTCGCGAGGTCTCCAATCCCCACTTAGCCTTGGAAAAGCATGTGGAGGAGGCAGAGTTTGACTAATCAGTCTGTTTAATTTATTGAGAAATGTCGGGATAGCTTTTTAGGGCTTAGCTTGTTACTCTTTGACAGATTTACAGTATTGTTATATGAATGGGTGGGGAACAATGATCCCTATTGCAAGCCTGTTGTCCCATTCCTCTCCCAGCCCAGTGACTGCAAAGCCTGATTGTCCAGAGTTTTCCAATCATACTGTCCACAGTATATACCAGCTGTTAACTGTGTAGGGCAAGGGCAAGAACATTCACCACTATCACTCCTTGGGGAATGCAACTGGTGACCTAAGTTCTCCTCTCTCTCTCCTTCTAAGATATCTCCAGAAGTGGCTGACAGTAAGATCTTGGGAGGAGGCAAAGATGCCAGTACCAGAGACCAATTGCAAATCATAATGTGAGCTTTGCAAATCGAATCCCAGCCAAATGCCCGATTCCGAAAACCTTGGCAATATACCTCTTCTGATTGACCAGAAACTGACCAATGAGCAGCGGCATTTCATATCCCTCTTGAACTAATTGCCAAGTAGCCTGATTCTCAGAGGATCCAGGTTCCAAGCTGCCGAGTAACTGAGAGCGACCTGCAGAGTCATGGGTTCCAACCGTCTGAGAATCAGACTAAATGCCCCAGATCTCTCCTTTCCTACTTGTATTCAAAACCCACCATCAAATACCCTGGTCCCCAGTTGGCTGCTCTTAGGTTTCTTAAGCCATGTGGGGGCTGGAGACAGATGGAGAAGTGGCTCCTGTAAGCATGGTTTTCAATACCTCATTCCAGTGTAATAACGCCCAGTATACCCTTTGACTGGTCAACCTTGACAGTTAACTTAAACACTTGCATCAGTCACTTTGCTGTGCGCAAAGAGTCCGACAAACACACTGTTTGACACAAGACAGTTTTTCTGGAAGTGGGGCAGGGTAGTGGGTGGACCAAGGTATTCTAAAAAGATGCTTACAGGCACTCATCCTCTCTCCTCCACAGTTTTTTGCTCACTCCACTGGCTGAGAGCATGGTGCAGGCTTGTGTACTCTGAAATAGTGCAAGGGGTGATGGAAAGTGCCAAAATTGTGACTAGTTAGGAACCAAAAAATTGCATAAAACTTTCAACACAATCCATCTCTTTCCTCTTAGAATTTTCTTTAAACTTTCCTCATTCAAACTGATCAACTTTTATCAAAAGGTTACGGGGGTTTGCTTGCTGTTATAATGGTCAGATTTATTGAATTTGTATTCAGCAAATTGCCGGGAAAAGTTAACATCAGGTCAATTAACACTAAGTCAGACTAAAGTTCCATGGCAGTTGATATAAATAACTGGTAGGAGACAGTATTCCTATGACAGCTATTTTAATTAACATTGTCAGATATTAAGGCCTCACACCTACACAACAAGACTGCAAGATCATGTGGGTAGCTGTCAATTCCTCAAAATTTGTTCATAACTTCACAGTTGTCAGTGCAACAGAAGTATGGTATAGAACCTAACAAGAGTTAACCTTTGATGTTTTTTTAATTGTAGAATTGTGCAGAGGTTGGAAATTTCTTAATGAAACTTCCCATAATGCTTTGGGGTCTTGTCGCTTAGGTTCTCCGACAATGTTAATATGAATGAACAGGCTTTTAATTTTATGAAACAAGGTCACAACAACATGCAACAATCTGACTTGCAATGTAACCATGGAACAGTGACTAGATACCCTTACATGACATTCTAGTGTGACCATTCAAAGGAAAGCTAATAATATTTCCATGGTAACATTGAAAATACGGCACACTGTAGTTCTAACCTTGAAGTCTGTAAATGAAAACCAGAATGAATGACATGACCAATACATTTGTTTGTCTGATATCCTAACTCTAAACCAAAGCTAATTGCAACTATCTTCACAAGAAGAAATGTACTGAACAGTACTTTAATTAGCTTGTTTAAGTTTCATAATAAATGTAATTCTAGCTTTTCTATCTGAGAAAAGATAATCCATTGTTAATTCTTTTATTCTATAATTATTTATAGACACTTATGTCATGGTGTAATAATATCTTTTGAGCCCGGCTGAAATCCTATGATGTGTCCATTCAAATAAAAATGATTGCATAGTATTATTTATTGTTCAGGATTCTATCAAATTAAATATGGAATATTCTCAATTGACGTTAACCAGAGTTAACCTTATTGCTGAATTGCTTTTCTCAACAGTGAGAAATTTCAGAAAACTCAATAAATGTGAGCCCTGAGTTTTGTTTTATACACCTCCTATTTAACAATGTTATTGACAAATTGCATATTTCCCAGATTTCAATTAATATTAATACAATGTTTCAATATTATTAAAATGGCACTAAAACATTTTATTATTTTGTTATTGCAATGGCCTTAGTTTTAAGTCACTGCATGCTTGCTGTCAGTGAATGCTCAAAATTTGTCAATTTCTTTTTTTCATCTTCCAAACATTAAATGAATTCCAAATCTTCACTCCACTGAAGCAAGTCACTTTTTCTACAATGAGCATTTTACCCTGCTAACAGAGTTAGCTTGAATATTTCTTAAATGAACTTCCTCCTTCCTGACTAATCTAAGAAAGATTGAAGCTACTCTGCTAGCAGGGTACAGTTATGTGCATTTTGAGGTGACATTGTAAAACGCATCTGCGAGATTTTTAAAATTATAATAACAGTTTTGAGGATCACATTATTTTGTCAAAAAAACAAAACAAATTTACAAATGAAAGACAGCCATCAATGAGCAAGCAAATTAAATTTTTAACACACTGAGAAATACTGCGGCACTGTTAAGGTAAACTTCCAATAAGCGCCATGGCCTTGAGACAGCGACTCATGACATAAGGAATACCAACAAAAACTCAATAGTGAGCTCAGTCAGACTGAGACAGCAACAAAATAAAAGAGCAATACAATAATGACAGGGATGTCGCCTACTTGGTTAGTATCAGCTGGCTTCTCTGCTTAGCATTTCTTTATGGATGGAGTTTTTAAAATAAATTATCCCTGGACTGGCGCTTACTTTGACAACTCAGCCGTCTACTTAAAAACTTTCTGACAACCCTGATGTAGCTTCTCCTTCAAATACACAAAATAACAGATATCCAAATTCAAACTAAGGACATGTGTACCCCTCAGTGAGCCAACCTGTACAGGCAAAGCACTCAGTAGTTTATCATTTCAGAATAACAATAAATTGCACTTAAATGTGTAATCGGTGAACACTGTATGAAGTGGACAAGAGTGTCAGCAAGTTTCAATCTTGTTTGGACTTGTATTTACAGTTATCTACTGGACGAAGAATGCCAAAGCAAAAAACTTTTTCCACATTTATATCGGAATCTGAGCGCTAGTGTATGTTTCCCCTCAAAACATTCAATGTGTGCACATGAAACAGAATAGTTTTGACCATAAAGAATGTTTTTTCATCCTCATAATGCTTGCATAAGCTCTCTATTTACTGATCCTACAGTCCTTCCCTACAAGTGTGACACAAGAAGTTGCCTTCATTCGATGTATCGAGAATGAGCCTTGCTTTTCTGTTTTTTTTTTGGTGTTATTTTTTAATATTGTTCCTTAGTTGCTTATATTATTGTTGTAAGACTTTGTGTTGGTCAGGGTAAGCACTAAGTCTTATCTTTGCTCCCAGTTGTGCGTGAGAAATGATAACATTACATTACTCTCAAAGTCTGGATAAACTTAGAGTTGATTTCGGGCAGTATTCTTCAGAGCAACAGAATCAAATAGAAATATACACAGGTACAAAATGGTACATAGCAAACGCCAAATAAATACTGCTGTGCTGCTAGCAAGAGACTAGTCAACAACAACTTTAAAAATGAAACTTGGAAATAACATTCAGCTTAATGCATAATAAAGGAAAATCTCACATACTGGTTTTAAGTCTTTTAGGCATGAAAATAAGACTGGGAAGTCCTATGAGATTACTGAAGGCCTTGTAAAATGATTAGGGTGGATCACTAGGACCTCTGGCATTAAGGACCGACTAGAACTCAACTCTTCTTCACCTGAATAGCTACAATGATGGTGTTCAACAAATGCAAAAAGCTATCTTTGATCATTTACTTGACATGTACCCATAGAAAAAGAATCAAATAATTCACAAAAATGTCTTTTGTTACACCACAGGCCTGCAAATAATATTTTGTTAAAAGGACAAACCAACCAGGTCACAATTTGGATTGGATAACCCAACAACTTTGTCAGGTATACAGTACATTGACTTTTTCTGGGACAAGTACTAAGCAAACCTTCAGCTTCAAATTGATAGTCTTTAGTATTTGATCTGTCCAGTCCTCATGCCAGACCACAGGTAGGATTTCCACAGACATCTACGAAATCCAATTTTTAGTCAGCCATAGTCCCATGAGAAACTCTTATTTGCAGCTCTGCACTAAGTGGGAGTCGCGAATTATATACAAAAAAATAAGGCATTTAGTGGCTTGAAACTCGGGAAAACTGGTGTCATTCACCATGCGAAAATCAATGAAGGTACTACAAGAATTCACATTATCATTATGAAAGAATCACCAAAATCTTATCTAGCCAATTCAGCGAGGGAAAAGAAAATGCAACACCTGTTTATAATACACTGGACATGTGCCTAAAGGTACATAGTGACCTTGAAATTATTATCAAATCTAAATCCTAAATTTCTTCCATGGTTCTATATTGTACCCTTCTACTTTTTTTCACAGATAATTACCTAGTTCTCCTATAGAATACTATGGCATTTTCTTACAATTCCTAATAAAATTCTAACCTTTCAATTTTTTTTGCTTTTAAATATACACTCTGTGAAAGCTGTATTAACAAGCTGTATTATCTAGTTCTCCTAACTAAAGATTCTTTTATATGATTCATATGGTTATCTTGCAATATATATGTGTATAATGTACATTACTGTAATGTATTTTCCGCTATAGCCTCACGTGTTGATGACTGTTTCCTGGACAAAGAAAAGCAAAAATAAACATGTAAGAAGAGCACTCCCATCTCTGGTTTCTGCAATAAAGGGTTTAGGCAAACCTGTTGGCAATTACATTTTTTCAGTGGGAATGGGAGGGGGGAAGGGGGCGGGGGGGAGAGGGAAGGGTCAACTCCCACCCTTGTGGCCGAGGATAAATTAAGGAGTGGTGTGATGGGTTAAGTTTGCTGTTTAAACCCCAGTTTTCTTCTTCTTTGAAAATAAAGGACAAGCACCAAAGTGGACGTGTTCCTCTTAAATCATCAACACTATTATTGTTCACATGAAGCAATATGTCCTTGACAAACAGTACCCCTGTTTTTGGGGCACAGAAGTCTTACCCTTCTTACTGAGATAAGAAAAACAACAGGATCCTCATTAGCAATAAAACAACTATGTGGAAAATTTGGATCAAATAAGGATTCTGGAAAACTGCCCACCTACCCCTACCCAAAGCCAAAATTTTGCCCTAACTGAGAAGTAAGTGTTAATGTTAGCTTAGGGGAGGGGTAGGTGGGCAGTTTCCCAGAAACCTAAATTGATCTGAAAATTTACGGCATGACTACTACAACCAGGACCAATCAGATCAAAGGAAAATAACAATACATTCTGAGAAAGTTTGTTTGAGCCAATCAGTAGTCCTGGTAATGGCCCCAGGGGAAGGACCAAATATAACAGTGGAGGGTACGCTCATCGTCTCGCTTAGGAGTGCAAATTGCAGATTTTTGTCTCATTTAGAATGTGTGGGACAGAAAGTCACTATATTTGCCCATTCAGGTATCGCTTACGGCTGTGCACAAAGAAATTTACAGGAAAAAAATGCCCTGACACTGACCACACAGATATCTGATGAACCCATTCTACGTTAACATCGTAACCACCATAACACCCCGCTAGCTCTAATTTTGATGTCTGTTCTAGTATGGTCTCCTTTAGGAGTCAGTTTAAGTGTGAGCCACACCCATGGGGGTTAATTTAATGTTAATTATTATTTTAATTTGGTCTCCCTAAGGGGTTTAATTTAAGTTTTCCGATGAGCATCCCCAACACTATTATGCGGGAGTGCCCTCCCCCAGGGTTACAGCAGTTGAACTGTAAATCTTAGGAAAAGCAGACAAAATCCAGGAAAAGAGTTTAAGATAACCACACCCTAATTTTCCCTTGCATGGATCTGCATGTTCCACATAATAAAAAACTGTACAAACACACCCTGTTATTAGGAAGAATTTTCCATTAACAAAACAAATTGTAACATTACCAGTAAGGGGCAGCATAGCTAAGTTCCTGACTGGAGTCAAGCCCTCAACTTTCTCAACGATTCAGTTTTCACAGGTTTCAAATTCCACCACTCCCTTCCCCCCAGCCCATGCCCTACAAACAATGCAAATTGTTTCACACATGATAAGGAAAAAAACAAACCCTGATTCCATCACTGTTGCCTGTTTCACATTCACTTGTCGAATCCTAGAAGACAAAATGTGGATGGTTTTAGGTCCTTGCCACCTAGTTCTCTGGTTATCCTGCCACTGCTGTAAACTGTTTTAACCCTTTAAGTTCCAATAGTGACCAACATAAAATTTCTCCTAACATTATCCACACATTTTCAAGAGCTAAGGTTATGAGAATTAATAAAATGATCACTAAAGAGAAAATCCCTTGATCTTTCATTAAATTCTCTCAACTAATTCTTATAGGAAATGTATGTAGATAACTTTGGAGAATTTGTACCCGTATATTAGGGCTTAAAGGGTTAACTGGGCTGGGATAGCAGGGCGTGAAAAATGCCTCATTTGATAGTGTGGGACAAGAGGATTTCTTCCTGGGCAAGTAACTTTTCAAGTTTTTGTTGCCCAATGGCAAGGGGTCCAAGAAAGTCAACCTCTGACAAAATCATTAACATTTACTAAGATGAGCAAGAAGTGACCTTGGGCAAGCAAAATGTCAGAACTGCTCGCCCAAAGGACAAGCTTGAATTGAAGTTTTTTTTCTAGCTCTGGGTCGTGGTTGAGGAAGGAAACATCTTTAACCTAACTAAAAAGATAAACTGAATGATAAAAATAGAGGGCGTAAAATGTAAATCTTGCTGCAGTCTTTGTGCTAAATCATTATGCTTATTATCCATTATAACAAGAGTTAAAATGATAAAACTATGCCGTCAGGACCGTTCATAAGACTTAAGCATGCACGTTCTTAACAGTAACAATTGTACTTGACCTACTGGGAAAAAAGTGTTACCATATCTATTAAGCCTCCCCTCTCAAATAAGCCCCTCCCCCTCTCTATTAAGCCCCCCAATGGTCCCCTAATAAATATTATTCTTCACTAATAAATGATAGACTGTATTAATCAATCACAACCGAAAAACTTCGTGTGGGCTGATCTGGGATGGTTTATTTACCAACAAGTTCAGATTTGATTCTGATCCTTGGCTGCATGACCTAAAACTTCCTGTACTTGAGCTTTTTCACTTTGTATTCTAGTTCTTTTAGCCCTATAAATATCAATTACTAGAAGATAAACTATGAAGACATGAAATGGCAAGACTCCATGGACAAAATCCCACAAGGTGGCCATTCAAAAGAAACCCCTCCAGTAGTGCTTTTGTGTGGCGATTTTTGTCTTCTTTATTTTAGAACATGAAATGTTAGATTTCACACATATATTCATTATTTACAGTAATTCCTAGAATAATAGCCCGAGGTGACTATTATTTTCATTATTCAAGAGAAGGCGATTATTTTGTATATTTTTGTCTAAGGGTGGGGGGGATTATTTGAGGGAGGTGAGGGATGGCTATTATTCAAGGATATACAGTATGTTATAAAGAGAACATACCGTTCTACATCCTGTAAGGAGGTATGTTGTAATATGACCCTTTCCTTTAACAGGGATTGTTCCTCTCCGCTCAAAAGTAAAGAATTCATCAAGCAGTTCCTTAGAGGCCTCACTGACCTGAATTCGACCTTTCACCCCCGTAGAGTCCATTCTACTAGCAATATTCACAGTGTCCCCCCATATGTCGTAAAGCAGCTTTGTTGAACCAATCACTCCTGCCGTGAGTGGTCCTGCATTGAATCCAACCCTCAATACAAATTTGAATCCAAGCATGTGCTCGTTGAACCTGTCAACAACCTTCATCATCCCGAGAGCAAATTCTACCAGTTGCTTTAAGTGGTCGTAAGGATGCGCATCTTTCTTAGCAACACCTTCTGGGTAAAGCCCTGATCCTGCCATGAAAGTAGATCCATTTACCGTCTTGATTTTCTCAACTTGGCTGAACTGCACCTTGTCCGAAAGAAGATCATCAAAGTCTCCAACAAGTTCATTGAGTACTCTAATACATTCTTTGCCACCCTCGAAATTCTCCTCATAAAAATCTGAAAAGTTGACGATCGATGCAAAAATGACCCCAACATTTTCATAATTGCGAGAGTAATGACTCGAAGTCCGCAATGCATCAGCAACATGCTTGGGAAAGATACTTTCAAGCAACCAAGCAGCTTGCTCTTTATGAGTTTGTGATTTTCGTTTGTCTTTTGCAGCTTCTTCATCTCCACTGAAATTTCGACGCACACTCATCTCTAACTGTCGGTTTAGTATGCACACAAACACTAACAACAACGCAATACAGACAATGATTTGTCGACGTAAAGAAGCAGTTTCCTCAGGTAGCTGAAATGCACAAAAGTCATCAAAACACAACAAAGTAATGTAAGTAACTGAAAACACGGCAGCCAGACCTGTCTTCATCCATGACGTCAGCTGAGTGAAGTTACAGAAATGTAGTAATGCAATGGCAAAGATTAGTGAATAGAAATCCCTCACTTGGCCATTATCTATACCAAGCTCACTGCAGTTCATGAAATTAGCAAAAAGAGTTCCCATGGGAAGACACAGAAGAAGTGCTCCAATCAGATGGCTGGTAAACCAACCACTTATGCATTCAACTACGCGGTTCACACAGGCAGAATACAGATGAGGAAAGGCACGGGCAACAGTCAAAAAGAACAGTGTTACTTCTATGAGTAGTGAGATCGGCGACAAAATAATAACAGCTAGTTGCACAGGACGGTAGAGAGTAAAGCCCAAAACCACAATTAAGAGATAAATAATGTTTGAAAGTAGTACATCAATGAAAAAGTTAACTCTCGGAGATGCAAATGTTGTTACCGATGGATTAAGCAAAGTGCAATCTTGTCCCTCGTTCTGATATTTCCTCTCCAGATCTTTGTTGTGAAACTGAAGTGTACAAGTGTTCATTGATTTGTTGAAGTACTCATCCCCAGACCGTTCTTGACTCATCATATCCACAAGCTGTTGGTCATTCTGGGTACGGAGTGTGTCTCTCATTAATGCTTCATTTAATGATAGGCCCATCATTTGTGAAGAACGCCTGTCAACTGGAACTTGTCCATTAGACTCCTCCTCATCATCATCAGATCTCACCGAGGCTCCAGAACAACTATAATATTCCATTTCAATGACATCTTGTTTGTTTTTAAGGTTACCCTTGAGTATCTTGGGACCACTGTCAGAACTTGATTCACCTTGACTTGAAATGTTGGAGTCAGAGTTAACAATTGCATAGGATGATGTCACTTGTTCTGAAATCTTAACATGTTTCTTATTTCCTCGGGGGCTACTGTGATGTGTCTTATTCATATTGACGTGGATCGAGTTCAGGTTTGCTGTCTTCTTTTTACGCCCACTAGGATGAAGAAGATTCATGGGTTTCTTCATGCCATTTTTTCGACCTACGATAAAGTATGTCTTAATGCCTTCTAACCCTTGGTAACGTGAGCTGCCATGCCCATCCTCAACAATGTAGTGGCCTGCAAGAAACTTTAATGTCGTCTCAGTTATGTGGACACGGCCAGGCAAGCCGGCCGTTTCCATGCGATTTGCTAAATTTACATCATTGGACCAGACATCAAACTTGAAGCGCAACGTACCAACAATACCACAGAGGACAGTTCCTGTATGGACACCAACTCGCATGTCAACTTCATTTTTGGTGTCTGCATCAAACTCTTTGATTTGCTCCAGCATGTCTAGACCCATCTCTACACAGTTGAAGGCGTGATGGGCTGTTGCTTCTGGGCAACCTGCAACACAGTAATAACAATCCCCAAGAGTGCTGATTTTCTCACAATTATTGACTTCCGTGAGGCGATCAAATCGTCCAAAGAGATCGTTCAAAAGCCTCACTAACTGCTCCGCAGACTTGTTGGAAGACATATTTGTAAACCCGACAATATCGGCGAAAAGAATGCTTACGTTTTCCATACGATGCATCTGAAAAGGCCGGAAAACCATCTGGCCTTTCTTTGGCCGCTTCCTTTTACCGTTGGAGTTGTCTTTAGTATCTTCTCCCGTTTCTTCGTCCAAGCTGAGTAGTTTCTCCGCGACGAGGTTGGGCATGACGGATCGAATCATCTGTTCTTTCATTTGTTTTTCCACTTCCAACTCCTGACGCGCGACCACGCATTGGCCAACCTTCCAGAAAGTGCTACGTTCGCGAACTTGAGCCATGAAAAAGATCTGTATCCCAAAAAGATGAATACACATATGGAGGGCCAGGCGACAGATGATTTCCTTGGGCTTGGACTCGGTCTCGCGATCGATGACCACGTCGGAAAGGACTTCATGAGCTACAGAAAAAGCCACTGTCATCATAATACAGATATATAAATGATGAGAATGGATCATCGTATAAATCAACATGATCGCGCATGTACACATACAAAACCGAGCTGGGTTCTTCAGAGTTGTTGGAAAAGCGAAAAGCGAAAGTTCCATGGCGATTAATAACACAGAAGCGAGCAGCGAAACCAAGGAGGCACATTTCTTGTACATTCTGCTGAATTTTGTAAACAGCATAAGCGCGATGACCAACACGAGAAAACAAGCATCACCAATAATCAAAATCTTTAGTTCTTCTTTATCTGTCGAGGCTTTAGTAATATCTCCAAAATACAAAACCGCAAAAAATATCCCCCAAGTGACGCACACGAGGCAAATGAACATCAAAGCGTGAATTAGACGCCTTTGGTTGTGAGCGGTAAAACGTTGGAATTCTTCTTCCAAGATTTTCGAATCGAAAGAGGGCTTCCACCACCGTGAAGAAGCACGTTCGAAAAACAAGGGAATACAGCCCTTTTTCTGCCGTGTATCGACTTGCGAGTAAGATCTTTCCTTCTTTACAGAAGCGAAGGAGGGCTTCAAATCGACGCTGGCCGATTCAGCATCCGTGCTAATGGAGTATCCAGACCTTTCCTCGCCGGCCATTTCGGGATAACACAGAAGACAGCTTGCTTTTCGAGGCTTCCCGGATGATTCGTTGTTGATCAGCAACCCAAAATCATTGCTTGAACGTCTTCAAGTCATTTTTAAAGTGCTTGGGCCGGCACAATTTCAAATGAGAACGCTGCTACGTGAATGAAGTCAGCCCATGACATCACGAAAAAATTTAAGCATTTTCCGAGCGAAAATTTCTGAAATTTAGCGCCTGTAAACTTCACTTGAAGAAAACATACACGCTTCACTGAGGCCCCTTTTTTCCGAGGCGGTGTAGATCACGTGACCTATTCCACACGTGACAGCTTTTGGAGCAGTCTGAGTGGTTGTGAGGTTTCGAGCTCTTTCTGAAGGGTGGTGTTTGGTATAAAAGGGCAGCCGGTTCGACATCTCAGCGCGCTATTTATAGAAATTCTTCACATTGCGGTCATACATGTTAAACCACTTTATGCTACGCGGAAAACAAATAAACCTCTAAGTGCGGTTTCGACTGTCAAAGTGTGGCCAAAACCAGGGGTAAAGGATCCTTCTCTCCATTTCACATATGTAAGCCGGGCTTGATTGAGTTACAATCAGAATGGAACCTCGATTTAAACCTCTATATAACAAAGTCCTTAGGAAAAACGAAGGATATTTTTCACCCCAGTAATAGTAAAAGAACCTCAATACAGCCGGCGAGACTTCGTTGTAATTTATATAGCAAGCATATTAGTTTGTCATTCCCTAGGCCCTTCGTCATAATTTATTCTCGAGGCTCCACTGTCAGAACCCCTATATTTAATGAGGAGTTGTCGCCAGGTTGTTTAACTTCTAGTCTGTCATAAATAGCTCCAAAAATATTTAGCAGTACTTTAACACTTCTTTAACTAAATTTGGTAAACTGAAACTCTACTGAAAATCAACATCGCCAGCTAAAAGAATGGAAGCAAGCCAAGAGCTCACATGTGAACTGGACTCCTTTTTTTTTGAACCTTTTAAAGCTTTACGTTAGACAGCCGTGGGGCGAGGGAAGTGCTGCTCATCCAAGCTTAAGTTGGTGGTTTTCTATGCTGGAGTCGTGAATTAGTCCTCAAAGATCTGTCAGAGATTGGGTATTTGTCAGTTATTATAAAATTGTGAATTTTCTCATGTTGTACTACTTAAGTGAACTGTCCAAACTACTCGGCATAAAAATAGTGGGAATTTATTGGTGTTCTTTCTTCAAAATGGTCGCACCCTTGCGTTGGCCGTCATCTTAAAAGATCGTATCAAATTGTGAAGGAAAGCGACGACGACCACTGATAAATATTTCGTATGAAGTGCCATCACAATATTTTAAACTTGTTTACTGTTCAGTCGTTTTTTCGATTTAATTAGGTGAACTATAATAACGCTTTACTCTCTGTATTGTAGACTTTTCCCCAGAGCCGTGCTGCATAAAAGCGCTTCTTCTTAGCATGGTGTTACAATTTTCTGAAGCCGAGAAACTGATTCATTCGATTAAACCCAATACTGATGTGCCACAACAGCCGTACAGACGAAAGTTATTTCGTATTTTATTTTCCGTTATTGTTATTTTTTCTAGTGAAAATCACTTAGGGTTTGCTATTTCAGGGTTTTCATACTCTGGCATCAAACTCAGCGCGATGTCTAGCATATCTACCGGCTAGTTTGTCTCAGTTGGCTCGAATCTTTAAAGTGCTTTTAGTTTTTAAGTTATCACATTTGAAACGTTTAAAAGTCAAGGTCATTTTCCTCCTCTGGAAAAACCACGAAACTTAACTTCATTTCCATGCCAATATAGCATTAATCCAGGGGCATCTAGAAATAGTTTTCCGGGATAAAAATAGCTCGTATGTAAAGCCTCAAACGCTATATATATTTGGGGTTGTTGCCAAACATCGACAAACAGGACGCGCGGTGAATCATTCATTTTCCTTCCTTGTGGTTGTTGCTGTCATCTTGCACTATTTTGTTCCTTAATAATATATTCATAAAATAAACTATGAGAAACCGTTTAAATTCACAAACTATAGTAATGGGCTGTCTGGACAATTGTATAAGACCCCTCTGTTGCATGTTCAAATACCTGGAGCCCGAAATAAAGTTTACAATAATAAAGTTCTCGAACAAAACCAACCGTTGACATTGACTTTTGACTCTGAAGATGACTTACCGCACAGGTTGTAGAAACGTCAGTCACTGTCAACAACAGTCGACCACTTCATATTCAACCTACTTGTGATACGATTCCTGGGTTCAAACTTTTCACAAAACCAACCAAAAATCGTTTCGAATTCACATACGCAGCATGAAGAACACTTACTTGTCGAACAATGATCGTCCAAAAATAAGTTGCTTGATGCGAAAAACGACTTTCTCTTGCTTTTAAAATTTATGATCAAACTAATCAACTAAGCTTTGGCAAAAACATCCAAACAGACCTTTGACACCCTTTACTAGTTACTTTTCTTTTGGTTTTTTACCACGAGCAGAGCAAAATTAGAATAAAAGCCGAATTAGCCAGGCAAAGAGCCTCGAACAGAAATGCTGCCCGCGAAATAGCGAAATACGAAGGAATTCCAAGGATCATTATTGCGCGTGGCCGATGCTTTTCGGGTCAAGTGGTCCGAGAGTGCGTCTCGCATCTCGATTATCTCAGATAGTCTGTTAGCCTTACTGTTGGCTTGTTCCAGGTTCTAAGATGGTGGGAGAGCGGATCGAGAAAAATATCTCGGATACGTCACCGAAAATGCGTTGACCGAGGAGGCCTGGGAAGACGATTGAAATCAGGCGTTTTCACGTGTTCGAAAGGCAGTATCCTGGGAGGGGCGGGGGAAGGGAAGGAGACAAAAAAAGTTTACTTCTCAGGCTTACTCTTCGCGTGGAAAGGCGACTTCACTGCTGCTTTTTGAACTTTCATAAACAGCGTGTAAACGGGAAGCCTTCTTTTTCCTCCATGAGGAAAAAATGTTTGACTTTTACATTAAAATTCTGGCTTCAGCTGTTCAATAGGCGGATAGCACAATCCCAGCCACCGGGGGTAGAGGAAAACCCTCATCTTGCACTTATTCCTTTACCTTTACTGATAGCATCGTGCTTGCAAGAAAATTTTATAAGTAAAAGAAATCAAGGAGCCTTCTTGAGGTCAAATGAAAAACGGAGGAATTCATAGAATTGTTCACCCGCGGGGATTCTCGATCTACAAAAACGACGACGCCACTTTGTAGGGGGCCTCAAGAAAGCCGGCAATGAAAGTAAGTCCTGCCCAATGATTCACCTATGTGGTTGCTCCAGGAAGTAGGTTTCAACTGGCATTCTCTTTGTGGAGCTGCCTCCTCCCGGCTGGCGCTAAGTTTTTCAAACTTTGGTTGCGAAAAACGGCGAGCCCGAAACGTAAATGACGGGCGGCCATGCACTGAGGATCACTGGAAGCCGAGAAAACTCCGCCTTCATTTGCGCGCAAATAAACATCTGGTAACGAGGCAAGGCCACAATGTAGTCGCATGCTCACTGGCACCGCCTCGTTACCGGACGTCTATTTACTTGTGTGCACAAAGCTAAGGAAGGTAACTTATTATCCTTCAAGTGAGAAGAATCCTCTCGTTGTACTAGTAAGTAGGTAAGTAAGTAAGTAATCTTTATTTATGCACGGCTGTACAGACTCATTAGACATGAAATATAAAAAAATTTAAAAACCTCAATGACTTTTACTGCATTTACTGGGTTTCGGTAAATAGAGTATTAAAATTATTCAATAAAGTATACATGTTTACGATGAAGCCTGTTTTCCATGAATGCCGTGCCTTACTTGATATTATAATAACTGTGTAAAAAGTGACCTCTGCTTGCCTTAAAGTTTTAGGAACAGCACCACTGTAGCGAAAACCATTACGGAGTTAATTAGTGCGTGGCTGTGGAATAGTTAACTACTGTTCCCTACGTCTTGAATATCCTGTTCCAAGCTTACAGATAGTAGACCGCGGGAGAAAAATTGATAAGGGAAAAATAAAACGAGCTCCCCTCGTTTTTCCTCCGCGTCTTGCCCGCGTACGATTGAACTCGCTCCTCACTACTTGATCGCTGCGCACCACTATCTGAACGCCCTGGAACAGGCTACGCCAAAACAAGCCTGGCAGGAAGGCTCGTTGATTTCTTCCAATTCTAAAATTTTCTTTCATGCATGTTAGTATCAGTTGTTTGGACTCAGAATTGGTATTGAATGCTCTTTACTGGTAGGTTAGCCAGCGTGGTCTCGCGCCCTAATTCCCTTCCCCTTCCCTTTCGAACTCCTGCCACGTAGGCGCCGATTCCCGATAACTCGAACCTTCAAGGGAAATAGAAAAAAGGTCGAGTGGTCGAGGGTAAAATCATATAGAAAATGATCTGAAGGGGAATGAAAATTGCTTCGAGTTAGCTGTAGGTTCGAGTTATAGAGGGTTCGAGTCGACTGTTTGTTACATTATGGTTCTGATCGATGTGCGTTTTATATTTCTGTAAATGGCTCCTACAATATCATTCTTAGGAGAATCGGGCGAAGTTTCACACTGTATATAATTTCAACTCTTATCTTAGTACATTACACGACCCCTCAGCATTATTCATTTAACTTTAATCGTGTTTAAATACAGATTTGATGATGACGACGAAGTTGAAATGATTAGTTGAAATAATCCCGAAATTCCGGAAATAACTTTTTGCGGAAATGACGTACGTAATTTTGTTCGACTGATTCCCATGCCTCCTCCTTGAACACCTGCGAAAATCGCCTGATTCTTTTCCACTTTGGCTTCACGGAAGACAAAAACAGCAAGACATGTATGTGAAAATGTCTGCATGATCCGGGTTTTTTTGCCATTGATTTTTGCTCTCTTATAGTTTTAATGTCATTTAAGATCTCACATGTACTTATTCACCTTTTATTTCTGCTGTAGGTCGAAAGTAACCTTCAAAATAACGCTGACTTCCGATCCGAAATTACCTTTCAAAGTGTACGTGTATTTATTTTCTTCTCCCGGCAAAGAAGAAAGTCTTTGGTATATAATCGGCTAAAGACCCTTAAATCGTCGCTAATATTTGTCTTCATTTGTTACATTTTAGCCTCAGTGTCCCGGAGGCAACGCCATTTACAGCAGTGTTAAAATTTGCAGCAGAAGAAGTAAGTTTTATATTTAGTTAAGATATCATAACTGAGGCAAATGTGAAGTTAAATACTGAATTCTACAGTTGTTATAAGTAGACGAGGGCATCGAGCTCATGTTGACAAATATTTACTTTTGTAATACCCCTTACAGTTTAAAGTACCTCCTGCTACCAGCGCGATAATCACAAACGGTGAGTTAAGATTTTTAAAACTCTTTCGATTTCTGGTACAAAATATTTAACTCATCTGGCCCCCATCATTCTTCCCCTTTATATAAGCTTAAGCTTAATTCAAGTTTCAAAAAGAGGTTGATTCCTTATTTTCCAGTCAATATTGAATTTTTTTATTGTAGAGTTATTATTTTAATGTGCCTTATCTCTTAACAGTCATTCTCTTTTATTTGTTTCGATTATAAAGTGTTCGAAGGTGTACATTTAAGTATTTTTCTTTTAAGCACATTTTAACTTATTGTCTGTGATCTCAATGTTCCAGATGGTATTGGAATAAATCCATCACAAACTGCAGGTAAATAGTACAAATATTCCACGATATTTTTTACTTTAAAAAGAGAAAAGAACTTCTATAGAAATCAACTAGTGATAATTCTCAAGGAAATCTACAAAAGGTTTTGAGTTAGGTTAGTAACTGTATGGTAAAAGTAAAAAAAGATAGCAAATGCAAGTAGCTTGTCTACTCATGTTGAAAGTGACTGTTTATCATTAATGTGATGTTAAGAGTTATGTATAAAACAATAAGAAGGATCTAGTCATCACATATTTTCTGAGTGGGGTATATGTACAAAACATGGACCACCCATGTGGACCTAGTCCGTTTTCCCCCGACATGGACCTGGTCCATGGCCTAGCCCTATGGACCACCCCTAATTTTTGAAGATGAATTTTACTAGAGGGGGCTAGGAATTAGAACCTTAGTTGAACAAAACTGCGGTCAGTTTGTTTTATCAGCATTTTCAGCTGTCACTTTTTCAACCAAAGCAGCTGCCAGAATAATGGGAAAAATTTGATTCATTTGGTTGACAACTTATGGTTTGTTTGTTTCCCAGGAAATGTTTTCTTAAAGCATGGTTCAGAACTGAGACTTATTCCACGGGACAGAGTTGGAAGTTGGCTTATAACATGAATCACCAACTGGATTTAAATTTGTTAATAAATGGTGTACTTATATCCAAATTTGTGTGTAAAATGTCTCTGTACAGCTAAAGCACCACTCCACTTGTCAGAATTTTACCCTAAAGGGGCATCATAAGAGTACTTAATCCCAGAAGGATGCATCATTTTTAACCCCCTGTTCAGCGTCAGTTTTCTGACCATGACGGTAATGCTTGGTCATTCAGAGAGATCATGAGATATTTAACCATAACATCCCACAGAGTGAATTGAAATTTTTGGTAATGTCTCGCCACCCCTTAGACTGGTGTACATGTACAGTTCAATGAAAACAAAAATTAAGTTAGGCTGGTTGCCTATGAAAGAACGTAGAGAATGACACGTTCTAAAGGCCGCATACAAAGCTATATACTCTCATGATTGGCCCAGAACCCTTCAGCTTGAGCAAGTAAGACATGCTAGAAATTTACGGTCATCAAGTACCATAAATCTAGTTATTCCCCACGTCTTGGACACTTTTCAGTACAGCGCGGCAGCCCTCTTCAATTCTCTGCCATCCAATGTTAAATCCTTCAGTAAGCAAACATTATGTATTTTAAGGGAGCTCTGCCGGAATAGGGCGGAATGATTTCTTGCCTAGTTTTAGATAATGTATGTATATATTGCATTATTACATTTTACTGTTTATTACCTAGCTTTTTACAAATTCATAATTCAGATTTATGTTAATTTCCTCATTTTACTTTTATATCAGGCGAAGAGCCATACCATGGGTGTACTGATATTAAACCGTTATTATTATTATTATTATAATTAAGATGAAGGACAAAAATGATGATAATGAAATGATAGAAATAAGTGCAAGGATAAGATTAATCCTCACTAAGGGAAATCCTATTCAGTGAACAAAGTTCTTGGTGCTTTAAAATGCTCTGCACTAGAGATAAATGTCAGTAAGGCCTTGTTTACAAGCAGGGAGGGTAATCCTGGTGCAAGGGTTACCCTAGAAAGAGGATTACCCTGGAACTTGCATATTTCTTTTTTTGTTATGGAACGTGTTTAAAAGGCAGGTAGGGTTACCCTGGCACTAGAGTAACCCTAGTGGGAGGGTTACCCCACCTGCCTTGTAAAGGCTCTGCTAGGGATAACTTGTCTACCTGGGATAACATTGCTCTGTCGTTAGGCACATAAAAAAGCACACACCCACAGAAGCTTAAACTTTAAATTTTAACTTAACTTTTGGTTAAGGCTTCCCCATCATCAATTTTTTATTTTTTTGGATTTCTTTGCATTAACCAAAATAGATTCATCATTATTCTAAAATGTGTGGATAACCCTTTGGATATAACCCTTAACTGTCCCACACTTTGATTGTCAAATCCAACAGTCCATCAAAAGTGGTAAATAAGCATGATGTAAGTCTTCATACATCTTGAATAATTCAAAATTACTCAACTGTTGGCAAACTGCCAGTCAAATGTTGACCTACCGTCAGCCAAGAGTTTTTTTCTCTATCATTTACTCTGGAAAGAAAGGTAATAAATCACTAACAACCAAACAATGAAAGCGCAAGTTTATTTCTTTAAAACACGTATTAATAGTAAACTGACTGGAATTACTTTCACATCCACGTGATGAGAAGGCTGCATCTGCTACTTGTACTTCAATGTTTGTTCTCAGTTGTATGAAATACCGAAAAAAAAGTGCCTTTCAGTGTGACCTAAAATCCTGTTTCAAATTTCATCTGTATTGCCAAATAAACATTTTTTTGTGAAATTGTTGTTTAAATACTGTTCAGTTATTAATTATTATTGTTTTATTCATCCAGAATTTCTCTCCAGTTACCATACCATTCTTAAAGAATCTATCACCCACGTAGATATTAATAATTCATTGTGAAATGTACACTTAATATCTTATTTTGAGAAACATTCTATAAATTAATACAATTTAAGACCCAGATGGGGAACTGAATGCAGTTTGAAATTGCTTCTTATTTATATACAATCATATTAAAAGTATATAAAAATATTGTCAAACTAACGTTGTAAGTATTAACCTGTTCCAGGCTCTATGGTAGCATGTATAATGACTGTGAAAGGTCTTGGCCCTAACCTTTACCCCCTTTTAACAGATTATGCATGTAGTATTTTTGCTTGACCTTGGTTTTATGATGTCTCGACTATCTGACAGCCTGGAAAAGGCTAGGATTGAATTAAATTTACAATTTATGCATAAATGACGTGGGACATTGTTGAGGGTTTGAAAATATCCAATGTTGTTTGCCATCAGTCATCCTGAAACAACAATTACAGAANGTACACTTAATATCTTATTTTGAGAAACATTCTATAAATTAATACAATTTAAGACCCAGATGGGGAACTGAATGCAGTTTGAAATTGCTTCTTATTTATATACAATCATATTAAAAGTATATAAAAATATTATCAAACTAACGTTGTAAGTATTAACCTGTTCCAGGCTCCATGGTAGCATGTATAATGACTGTGAAAGGTCTTGGCCCTAACCTTTACCCCCTTTTAACAGATCATGCATGTAATATTTTTGCTTGACCTTGGTTTTATGATGTCTCGACTATCTGACAGCCTGGAACAGGCTAGGATTGAATTAAATTTACAATTTATGCATGAATGACGTGGGACATTGTTGAGGGTTTGAAAATATCCAATGCTGTTTTCCTTCAGTCATCCTGAAACAAAAATTGCAGAAAAATAAGATACAATCAAACCTCCATGTGCCACAGACCACCTCCCATAAACAACCACCTCCCAGCAGCAAGGGTGGCATAGTTGGTTATTGCGCGGCCTTCAGTGCAGTAGGTCCCAAGGTCAATCCCCAGTGACATCCTATCCTTGTTTCAACTTCTCTCCTTACTGTGTAGTTTTACCTAGCTTTAAATTCCCTTAAAACAGAGCGTTGATGGAGAGAGGGGAATAAAATGAGCGCACCGTCAACCTCAACAAGCTTATCAGTTATTACTGTCACAAGTTATCAACGTAAAATATGGTGGCTTTACCTTTACCTCCCATCAGCACCCTTCTATGCGAAATGCCAAAATTTTCCCAGTCAAAGCCCTTTAATAAAAGCTCTCATCAACGAACAAATCTCATAAGCAACCACAACCACTTTTGGACTGACAGTTCTATACTTTTTTATTATTCTAAACCTCTAACAAGTGATCACTTGGTGCATGGTATGGTCTCTTTGTTTGCTGTGTGTACTACACCACTTAGAGTGTACAAACAACTACATATGTAAGTAACTTTATTGCATGCAATAAATAATCTGTGAAAAAGTAGATGTGCTGGACCTTCTCTTGGACGAGACCCCTGTGGCTGATTCTTGTAAAAGACCACCTCCTGTAAGCGACCACTACATCTTTGCATTTTGGGTGGTTGCTTATGGGAAGTTTGACTGTATCACATATACTTAAGGCCCTGCTGAATCTTAACCATTTAAGCCCCAAGATCCACATACAAATTCTCCAGACTGATCTGCATACATTGCTTTTAAGAATAGTTGAGAGAATTTGGTTTAAGATCAAAGCATTCTCCCTTTGGTAATCAATTTAGCAATTCTCATAACCTTTACACTTGATGATCTGCTGATGTTGTTAGGAGAAAATTGATGTTGGTCACTCTTGGGACCTAAAGGGTTTTCCTGACAGCCGGTCTGGACAAAGTTGCCTGCCTCCAACACAACCTACTCCCAAAATCTCTAAGGTTTACAGTTTTTACAAATTTTCTTTCCTGCCAATATATAGAATGGGTTTCTGAACGAAGCATACTTTATGGTTTATCCAGAAATAAGTGAGAGCAAATATGCCACCAATCGACTGTCAGTAATAATACCATCTCCACCAAAAAAACAAAAAAATCGCATAGTGTAACTATGCCCTTAGGAGAAATCCTGTTTTTATTGGGACCAAAATTTCACATCCATCTATACCCCTGGTCTTGAAACTTAAAAGAAAACTAAAAATTAAACAGGACTTTTTGCATACCCATTCATCATCATCTACTCCTTCTTGAAGATCCTGTGGTAGAGGGTCATCATCAAAATTTCTTAATTTCTCAACCATGGAATTCAAGAGCTGCAAAGTAATCAGAGAATTCACTGAAGACCAAATAAAAAAACAATAATAAATTGCTGGTCGTTAATAAGAAAGTTCAAGCTTGCAAGGGTTGGTGTAGCCTGTGAGTGCAGATGTATCTATAGTTGTCATTTCTCTTACTTTTTGGGTGGAGAGAAGAGACCACCGGAGATAAATCTGTGTTCACAGGCTTAGGGTTAGTCCGGTATCTATTACATTTCACTTCGTAAGTAGTGACATGTGATCAGTATGGAATTTCTGCACTCTTTCATCAGACATTATTTCACAAGGAAACCAGTTGTGGCGTTGTAAAAGTGTCCGCTACTTTCTCAGGCTTTCTTGGCATAGGGTTATCACCCTGCCCTCGAAAAAAGGAAACCAGGTTATAACAGAGCGCCATCCCCTAGCCCCAGAACATCTCAACCTTAATGATAGAATATTTATTTTATCATTAATAGTATTTTCCAGTGCAAACAAGCCCCTGGTTTTAGATGATAAGTTGCATGCAGGCAAGCGTTACCTCCTCTTTCTGTTGTTCAGTGGTTTTGACTTCTACAAGCTCATGTCTGCTGTCATACTTTCTTGCAATGGGGGCTGCTTTAGGTGCTTCACTTACTGTTAAGACAACAACACCAAACACTCAAGCCATTTCGTTTTATATCCACACCACCACTATGGATGAGATTTTCTAAAGAGGTAGTGAAAGGGATTCATTTCCTAATTGATGGTGATCTAAGGCTGATCGCTGAAAATTAGTTGCACCCTGTACATATGATTGGGATGGTTTTGCTGAACATCAGTATGCATCAAGACGTGTTACGAATTTCATTTGGTTGTTGGTGGAAATATACATTAACCATGAAAATTCATAAAGCCATTTGGACTTGAAGACACTCTCCTTGGGTCCAGAAATCTCACAAGGGTCTACATCAGTTTTTTTTTTCCTGTCCAATAGACAATGTATGGGTTGGCTTCGTCCTTGAGGGCTGAAAAACGTTACATAGTGTTTTCTGGGTGGACATATTCCCTGAGTAGACACTATGGCGGGTCGATAAAACACATGGGGATTTCCAAAATGGTTGCAAAGATGCATGAGTAGTACCAATCCTTGTGCATCCCTGAGACTCTTGGGCTCATGAGAAGCATGTGGCCTTTTAGATTTTTTGTGCGTAAAATCACACGTGTGCATTAATAGGAACCCTATTAAGCCATTAACTCTTAGTTCCATAATATTCATTTTGTCCAGGCAAGGTTTTGAAATAACGTAAAGCTTACATGGCTTCATGTCAGCTGGTCTAAGTGACAACCTCTTCTGTGCACCATTTTTACCAGTAAACCACTGATCACTAGTCAATGCAGGCTCCCACCATACCCTTGTGTCTGGGAAAAGGTCATCTTGGAAGTACTCCATCTATTTACATAAAAAGCAGATAATACCATATCAGTATCAGTATGTTAAAAGAATAAATTTATTAAACTGAAACAAACCTTCACTCGCGGAACCTGGAATGAGAGGAGTTCTATGAACGTTTTGTTCAGTTTGACAGCCCTAGCAAATTCTACTTCTTTGACATTGCATACAATCTTTGGTAGAAAGCCCACTGCCTGCAAAGAATTGAGCATTGACATAATTAACCATATATTTCACCCCACTGACACTATTTGCTTGTATGTCACTACTTAAAATAATGACTAACAAGATATAGTTAGCTAATTCTGGTATGTCATAGCTGCTGACCAAAAGGTCCAGCTTTGAAGCCTTAGGTACGCCTTTACATTGTTTCCATGGACAAAAAAAAACTTTACTTTCTTCCAGCACCCACATGTAACAATAGATACCAGCAACCAATAATATTATTACTAGGGTTAACCCCACTATAGGACTAGCATCCTGTCCATGGTGGGGTGGGGGAAGAAAAGTATGGTTAGTATCAACTGTCTCATGGCTGATCCTTTTCCTTTAGTTTAAAAACAGAGTCTTAGAGATCCAAGTTATAAAGACGTATGTCATATGTCAGTATATTTATGACTAACAAGATACACCATTACGTCACTGTTATGATATGTTACCTGGTAAGGTTCCTTTGTCCTGTAGTGCGACAATTCAAAGATATGAGGTGCTTCTTCACTTATTTCGTAAGCAAAAATAGTTGTTTCACCCTAAAAAAATCACAATCAAAATCATTAATCTCTGAAAATAATTATGAAGAAGTACATTTTTTGAAAACTGTTGATATGAGAAAAACCCAGGGGCTCCAGTTTTAAAATGACAAAAAATGCTTATCGCACCTCAACCTTCTATAGTGTAAAATTAGTGGGTTGATCACTTAAGGTTAATTTGGCTGTTTTAGAATTGAAATATAAAATTTCAGTTAGGTTGACATGCCAAAAAAAGAAATTTTGGTACTTCATTGCTATTTTCTATTTATTTTTTTATTAGCTCCTATCATTTAGAAGGTTCCACTTTTAAGCACAAAGTCATGATAAAAGCACCTAGCTAGTTCTTGTATCTATCCTAGGCTTTGAATCTTTCAGCCAAATATATTACAACATTGTGGGAAAACTTAACAAAAAATGATAACATAAAAAACAGTGAAGATGTGCCAACACATACAGTTGTCCCCTTGTCTGGGTTTAAAGTATTAATTTTTTGTCATGTCACAGCTTACATTATACATTTATACAAATTCCTCAGTATTAAAATGCATGGTGTATGTTAACAATCTCTGAATATTTCCTTGCATTTAAAGTATTTTCATACCTTTGAAAAGAAAAACAAGACAGCAGAATCTTCATCGTAAAATGGAATTAATGTAGAGGGAGAAACAGTGGACTCCAAAGTTGACAAGGCTTCAGATAAGTTACGACTATCGTATACACTGATGATACGGTTACTCATCCTAGCAAACAAAAAAACCCAGTTTTTTCCTGAAATGTGGTCTGTTATGTACCAGGTAAAAATACTATTCCTGCCACATAATGTCATATCTTGTCCACCGCAAGTTAGAGGGAAATTTTTCTTTCTTCCCATTATTCTTGCTTAAAGCTCACTAAAGGTCACTGAAGTTAATGTAAGGTTAAACTAGAGTTAATCTTGTTGCAATTGCCTTCCAGGTAGCTGAAATGCAAAATGCCTTGCTCTGAAAGTGAAAATCCTTCTTGCCACACCAGGCAAATGATGGCAAAAAAAAAAAAAAAACCTTTAGTTTAAAAACAGAGTCTTAGAGATCCAAGTTATAAAGACGTATGTCATATGTCAGTATATTTATGACTAACAAGATACACCATTACGTCACTATTATGTTATGTTACCTGGTAAGGTTCCTTTGTCCTGTAGTGCGACAGTTCAAAGATATGAGGTGCTTCTTCACTTATTTCGTAAGCAAAAATAGTCGTTTCACCCTAAAAAAATCACAATCAAAATCATTAATCTCTGAAAATAATTATGAAGAAGTACATTTTTTGAAAACTGTTTATATGAGAAAAACCCAGGGGCTCCAGTATTAAAATGACAAAAAGTGCTTATTGCACCTCAACCTTCTATAGTGTAAAATTAGTGGGTTGAACACTTAAGGTTAATATGGCTGTTTTAGAATTGAAATATAAAATTTCAATTAGGTTGAAATACCAAGAAAAGAAATTTTGGTACTTTATTGCAATTTTCTATTTATTTTTTTATTAGCTCCTATCATTTAGAGGGTTCCACTTTTAAGCACAAAGTCATGATAAAAGCACCTAGCTAGTCCTTGTATCTATCCTAGGCTTTGAATCTTTCAGCCAAATATATTACAACATTGTGGGAAAACTTAACAAAAAAATAATAACATAAAAAACAGTGAAGATGTGCCAACACATACAGTTGTCCCCTCGTCTGGGTTTAAAGTATTACTTTTTTGTCATGTCACAGCTTACATTATACATTTATACAAATTCCTCGGTATTAAAAAGCATGGTGTATGCTAAAAATCTCTGAATATTTCCTTGTATTTAAAGTATTTTCATACCTTTGAAAAGAAAAACAAGACAGCAGAATCTTCATCGTAAAATGGAATTAATGTAGAGGGAGAAACTGTGGACTCCAAAGTTGATAAGGCTTCAGATAAGTTATGACTATCGTATACACTGATGATACGGTTACTCATCCTAGCAAACAAAAAAACCAGTTTTTTCCTGAAATGTGGTCTGTTAATTACCTGGTAAAAATACTATTCCTGTTGCATAATGTCATGTCTTGTCCACCGCAAGTTAAAGGGAAATTTTTCTTTCTTCCCATTATTCTTGCTTAAAGTTCACTAAAGGTCACTGAAGTTAATGTAAGGTTAAACTAGAGTTAATCTTGTTGCAATTGCCAGGTAGCTGATATGCAAAATGCCTTGCTCTGAAAGTGAAAATCCTTCTTGCCACAGCAGGCAAATGATGGCAAAAAAAAAAAAAAACTACTAAAATAATAAAAAGAAGGATTTTTTTTCTGGCCAAACAAACACAGGTTTTTTAACAATTTATTGGATTATAGCAATTTGATGCTGGCAAAAAGGTGAAACTTACAGGTTGACCCCAATTTCCTCTTGGGGTTTATAAATAGTCATAAAATTGGGCATTGATGATTTCCAAACAAGGATGTTTGTAAATGCATATTGTAATACTATTTTATTACAGACGTAAACGCAGAGGCCTATAATATCAGTGTACAAACCTAGATAATAAATAAATAAATAACGATTTGCAGGTAGCACATCCACATAGTGGTTCTTCGTCTACCTGATTCCTGGTCGAACTGGAGTTTGGAAATGTTGGTTTTTGAGGAGAGGGGAAAACCGGAGTACCTGGAGAAAAACCTCTCAGAGCAAAGGAGAGAACCAACAACAAACTCAACCCACATATGGCGTCAATGCTGGGATTTGAACCCGGGCTACATTGGTGGGAGGCGAGTGCTCTCACCACTGCGCCACCCTTGCTCCCCTTACTCCCCCCTCTAGCTTCTCCCCTCCCCATCGCCTCCCCTTGCTCCCCCTAGACAGTCTTATGTGGATATATGGTCCTAACATAAAAGAGCATAAGCACTACAAGTTACCTGCCAAACCCAGAGACAATCAACCAGTTCCCTTCAGGACCCCCCCAGACGACACGCGCTCCACGGCTACCAGCGGGACCAGGGCCTGTCTGAGACAATTTAAAGCAGGTGAAACTTTGTAAAAGATTGATGAATGATGGTTCATGGTCGAGATAAATTAGCCTTTAGTTTACTTCATACAGTCAAACCTCCATTAAGGGCCCCCTATCAAGTGGCCAGCCACCCTCTATTAAGCAGCCAGTAATCAAGGTCCGAAAATAATAATTGTAGAAAAGAAGGGAAAATTAAACTTCTATTAAGTGGCAAAGGCCATGCACCTCAATCGGCCAGCCACCCTCTATTAAGCAGCCAGTAATCAAGGTTCCAAAATAATTGTAGAAAAGAAGGGAAAATCAAACTTCTATTAAGCAGTGAAGGCCACCTTTTGGCCGTTCCAATGAGAGTTCTCCCTTGTTGTCACGTCTATCAAGCGTTTGATACACATAGTTTGGCTTCATTTTAAGAATATGATGAAGGAAAATACTGTCTGAGAAAGAAGGTGACGACCAATAATGTGGTGGACCAGTAATGCTTTTTCCGTCCTGCATTCGTTTCAAAATAAAGTGATGTTACTGCTAAAGATTATGTTGATTTATGATGAACCTCTGTTGAACAGGCAACTTCCATTAAGCAGGCACTTGCCCGTACCTCAAGGGTTGCCTGCAATTAATGGAGGTGCAACAACAAATATCAAGTCATCTAAACTGAGTTATTTATCTTTTCCTGTGTGTTACTTTGTCAAAGTTTCACAGGAGCAGGGTTCTCAATAGAAGGCGGCACCCGGCGATTGATCGCCGCTTACTTTGGGATTTATAGCCGCTTACTTTGTGTTTAAGTCACTTTTCTTTGCTTTGTTTTGACACCGCTGGCTTTGCTGAAGAGCCTCCTACTTTATCAGTGATCACCTCCTATTTAAAAATCTATTGAGAACCCTGCAGGAGGTTTCCTTTACAGAAAAAGGACAGGAAAAGGGAAATTTGCGGCAGGGTTGGAAGACATACATGGGAAAATAACCTATCACTGGCAGGGATCTGTGGGAATTCTACAGGGGGCAGAGAAGGACATTGAGGGGGTAAATTGCCATTCAAATAAAGAATTGCTTGACACATAAAAGCAAGTATTTCAGCCCAATGCTTTGAAAGAAAAGAAGAAGAAAAATACATCAAATTCTAATTTGATACCTGTATAGGAGAAACTTGTGATCTTGGATCATATACTCTAACTTTGCTGTCTTTTGAGACAGTAGCCAGTCGAGTTCCATCAGTTTTCCAGGCCATGCTTAACACCTAAAGCCAAGCAAAACAGATGAATTCTCAAAGCTTTAAGTTGACTTATTTATCAATAACTAACAATGATGTAAATGCTTAAACTATACACCCAGGGCACTTTTCAAAGTCGAAAGAGGGTAGTGATTTGCAGGGGCCAGGGCACTTATTTCGTTTCTCCATATTTCAACCTAAAAACAACAGCAAAGGGCATTTTTGAGTGATGAACAGCAACCAGAGGTGCGTTGTTTGCATTCTTGGGCATTGGTTTTGCCCAATTTTCGGGCAATTTGTCTCTGCAAGAGTAGAGACACTTTCAAATACAGCGATTGTGGTATAGTGTGAAGGGACAAGGCTTCACTTCTGGTTATCCTCTATCGAACCCGTACCTCTGCTCTGAAGGTTTCAAAGAAAAAACACCACTGATTTCACAGAGAAACGACGTCTGAGAAATGAGTGCAAAAATTCTATACTGATGACACATCACTACCCAGATCTGGGTAGTACTTCTGATTAACGGAAGCAAATTTCCCATGAGGCATGACCAATTAGAAGCACTACCCAGATCAGGGTAGTGACACATCAACAGTATGGAATTTCTGTGCTTGTTTCTCAGACGTCATTTTGCATGGAAACCAGTAGTGGCATCGCAAAATGTTGGCTGTTTTCTTGGGGTACATTAGATCTGACTTTTGACCTTCTTACCTGCTCACTGTGGCCTGTGAGAGTAATCAGAGCTTTTGCTTTGTTGATATCCCATATTTTGACTGTCAAATCCAAAGATGAAGATGCCAGTACTCCACTAGCCACTGGATGGTACTTGACCAGGTTTGGTTTGTCATTATGTCCTGGAAAGGAAAGAATTGTCAAATGGAGATGCATAACAACTCATGTTAGACTTAAGATCTCTTTTTATCCTGAATTTGGCAAGGAACAGGTTGATGAAGATGGAAACTTGACATCAGTCGAGGTGGGCATGTTTTGGCTACTTTTTTACACTAAGAATTATTTGAAACGAATAATAAAACAATAATAATATTTTTATTTGATTCAGCTTTCATTTGATCTGAAAAATTGTGCAAATCTCGGAGGTTGTTATCATCTCAAAGGTTGTTGTCATCTGCTGATGAACTGAAGCAACAAAATGCAGTAACTTGCAGAAGTAAGACTTTTTGACTAACCTTTCAACACCACTAAAGGGGAGGTTAAAGTCTCAGTCAGGCCTCCATCAGGAATCTCCCAAATACTAACAAAACCACTTTCACAAGCTGGAAAAAAAAGTGAGATGATAAAAATTAAGTACAATTTTCTTTTGTATGTATCTTTAATGAATACAATTCTTTGCCAACTTCTCTACACAACTATAATCAAATGTAAAATCTCCTGATGTGATGTTTTACAGACAACATGGACCCTCGTTTATGAATATTGTCCTTTCTCTTCTTGAATGGGATACCAAACAATCAGGACAAAAATCACGAACATGAGTCTGTTTAAAGCCAGGTTTCCATTATTATGATTGCTACGATCGCTGAAAAAAAAGGTCACCAATCGTAGCGATCATAATTTTGGAACCACTCTTCAGCAATCGTAGTAATCACAGTGACAATGATCACTGAAATGAGAAACATTTCTATCTCAAAAATCACTGCAATCCCTGTAGAGTGGTTTCCATATGATCATTATGATAGCTGAACTTTTTTTTCTTCAATGATCGCAGCAATCATAGTGGGTGGCCCCAGTGGAAAATTTCTGGAAGAAATGGTACATGTTAAAAGGTAGTCCTATTTTCTCAGTCGGAATGTTCCTTATGGAATTTTGTGTTCCAATTCTTTGAAACCATCTTTGATACCAGTTTTAGGCCTTCGCAGCCATTTTTCAAGTAGATGGAACAAATGGTAAACACAATAATATTCCGGAATGAAATTTACCAGTCCTGAATTTTGCTTACCATTAGCCAAAACCGTGAAGCAACTGATTTGCCCATGTAAATAGTAAACAACCAAAGTGTCCCAAATCTTCTAACCTATACTCACCTGCTGCAAGTTGCTGCCTATTAAATGGATCCATGGCAAAATCAAGAACACTACTTCCACACTGAATGGCTGGTAATCCTGAGTCAGGCAGGCGACAAGGTTTGTTAAGCTTGAAAAGGAAGGCAAGGGAACTAACAATCAGAAAAGGGGATGTAAAATTTTAAACTGTGTCAGTGACTTTGTTACCTATGCGTCCTGCATCCCTGATGCATGAAAATCCACAAAGACACAAAATAATTCATGGCACGTGTCCCGTAGGATGCAAAGAAATGGCAAGTTGTAAAACTGACTTTCTTTGCACTCCAGTGGGGTACTCCAGATTCAAGTGACAGGATGATTGAATGGGGGCAAAAATCAAAACTCAGAAAAATCCCCAGGCTTCCAACAAACCCCCCGAAAATACCTAGACCAAAAACTTACCCCAAAGAAGTCCTTAGTACCAGAATGCATTAAATATTAAAACAGCCGCAAAACAACTTTGGTTTTACTTTATTCCCACATGGCCAGGATACACTGGCACTATCACGAAACTTCACATTGTTTTGAATACCCCCCAAATTCACTACTTAATTAAGCCACTCCCAAAAAAGTACTTGCCAAATTTTCCTTTCCAAAAAAATCACGGAATCGAAAATTCGAACCCCCAAAAATCCTCTGATCATCCCTGACACTTTAAATATGGAGTACCCCTCCTGGGTTTTGCACTCTGATCATGATGAATAAACACTTACTGGCACCACTGCTATCTGTCCTCCAGGTCCTGATAAAGGAAATGTCACAAACTCTTGATTGACTTGAAACGCATCACTGTCTCCAGGCAGAGAAATGCTCAAGTTACGTACATTCTCAATGTTGTTGCTTTTGTGCATGGGTGTGCCCTGGAGATGTCTAAACTTTGATGTACGTACACCTGTGAAAGCTTTTATTGGTTTTGCTGGAGATTCTTGCACAGGATCACTGACTGCATGGGTAGCCTGTGCTGTGGGAGCTTCTTCTTTACGTTCAACTGCTGACTAAATGAATGTAGGCAAGTTATTAGCAAACTGCACAATACATAAAATGTACTTTTGTATAAGGCCCTTCTCAAGTTTACTTTTTATTATTATCAATGCCTTCCAGGGGTGGGGAGGGGGGGGGGGTAAGCTGTGGCTTTATCAGCCATTTCTGAGACGGTCTGTCACCTTGTATGTTACGAAAAATGTCACTGTTGCATTTTAGCAAGGGAGAAAATGTTGCGGTGGGTTCCACATAAAATTTTGTGATACTGAAATTTGAAATTTATCTGGAATTCTTTCCTCATTGTCTGTCGATTATAGGTGCTTTCTGAGACGATTGACACCAGTTTTCAGGGCCAGCTCACCTGTCACTTCCACTCCTTGGAAGGCCTCATTATTTGGCTGGGTTTTTGGTTACCATTTTTTTTTCCATTCTGTCATTTCATAACCCAGGAAGAAGGTTGTTTGCAGGTGATCAAGGACACCCCCTTCTGACATACAACATTTACCTTTTCAGCAGACACAGCTGGTTTCGTTGATTCTATCGCAGGTTTTGCCTTCAGATCTGGTTTTTTTGGTTTTGTCCCTGATGGTTTTTGCTTTGCCTGTTGCTTAGATGGATCCAGAGACACTTTTTTCATCTGAATTTGTAAAAAACAACACGTCTAAGTGATCAAGTAGTCAATTTCTTGTTTCAGTCAAACCGGGAAAACGGTGAACACCAGAAATATTTCTGGAATGTTATTGTGTTGCAAGAAAAAAGCTAATCAGGCATGAGAAAACTAAACTGCAATCAAGAACGTTAATTAGTTTGTGGTTTTGTGGCTTGCTTGCATGTCCTAATCTCTGCTGTGATTGGTCTTAACACAATAAACATTCATGAAATATTTCAAGTGTTCAAGGTTTTCCCAGTTTGACTGTAAAAGTACCCCCGGTATTTAACAGAGCTCTCATTAAGAGGCGGGGGCTGGAGATTTCCCCTAGCTACTTTTATAGGAAAATAGAAGAAAAATAGAACCAAAAGAAATCCCTTCTACCCCCTTCTCTGCGCACCCTCTAACTATAAGTTACATCCACCTACTCTCCACACCTAACATTGTAGTGCTATAACTTACACTGTTATATTTAGGTAACATGACTTACAGGGGTGTCAGATCCGCCAAACCACTCCTCAGCTGTCATGGAAGCTTCTCGTGCCACTGTGTCGGGAAACAAGTCTCCATGAAAGTCCCTGTAAGACTATCAAATGAAACTAAATGAGTAACTGTTAACAAAGCCATCTTTTAACCGGGGTGGGGGAGGGGGGCGGTCTCAACATCTCACTTTGTATATGGTAAATTTTTTTGACTCCATTCTTCTCCAAAGCGCAAAACAAAATCAACAATCGATGTGTGCACAGACTCTTAGTTGCTGGAATTAAGAGAAAAATGTACTTCATAATTCTGCCTAACAGATGAATGTCAATCAAGAGGATGTCTATTCGTGTTCATTAGACAAGTACTATCTTTCTACTATCCTGTTGCTTAAACTCGCTATTTACAGGCCGTTTAATTTAACGTTTTATAACAATTGGATAGTTCAAAGGTTTTCTGTACACTGAAGAATGGTTAAACACCCAAAATATCTAGTTCTTTAAAGACATTTTAAATGTCTTTGAATTTTCGTTAAGATTATATCATTCTATAAGCTATCTTACTGCAAGTGCCATGCATCACAAACCATTTTTCCATTCAGCAAGGATTAACTATATTTATATTGGAATTTATTTTGTAGCCTAGGGGGTACTCAACTAAGTTTAATATGGCAAGGCTCCGCCCAAAGGTCCAACCCCTTACCCTTTTATATAACATTTTTCACAGAAAAGGTACTCCTTTCGTATACCTACTATTGAAAAATGGTACCCTTTCACATACCTAGTTGAGAACAATGCATCTCTTTTAACTGATATAAATGCACTGTCTTTTAAATATGAATCAATGACAAATTCAGAACATTTCTTCGACTTTTTCACAGCCATTAAGTGCATTGTTAGCCCTTTTGGGCTTTTCAGAGAACAAAAAGACAGATTTCCCTACCTTTCATATCCTTCAACCTGTGAAATCCCTTTTCTTATATATACCTGAAGCCTGGAAAAGGTACCCCTTTCAATAGACCATTAAAGGAAGTACCCCACCTCCTGAGTGGTAGAGAGTCTACAGAAAGGAAGAGTGACCATCTTAACTTTTTAGAGTAGATTTATTCATTCCTTACCCTACGAGGCACACAGTAACTCAGTGGAACAACAGATGATTTGGTGAGCTGAAGAAGCCGCACTACTTCACAGGACATGACATCCAAGGCAAGTTTAGGAACAGTAGCCATTCCTTTGTGCTGTTCTTCTAAAATCTGTGAGTTGACTAAATGAGATTAACAAAGCAGCTGCATTAGTATTGCGCTTGTCCAAGGGCAAGGCAACTTTGGATATTTGTTTGATTGTAAGTTTCTCCTGGTAGATATTAGTAAAGTTTTGTTCTTCTGCCAGCGAGCTCCCGCAAAACTCAAATGCTTCTCCTTCTGAAGAATAATATTCCATGAATATTGACTGTCTTTGTTATAGATTCATCGCATTTACATTTGTCCTCTGTTTGTCATATAAATACTACAATGACCAATCAGAGCTCCTGAGCAGATTCTAGACAGATTTTATGTCATCATGAGGTGCACACATCTTTCGTGACGAAACCTCCCTAGCAGCGAGCAGCGAGGATAGATAGCTGTTTTTGCAGGCTAACAGCCATCAAAAGAATAGAACAAACATGAATAACTGCACATGACTTTGGTTTTTACAACACTGATGGTAGGTATAAGATGATAAAAATGATTACCTGGAGTGATGAAAGATGTAGCAGTTTCAGAGACTTCTAAGTACTGAATAAAAGAATCACCCTGTTGCATAACAAACAGAAATTAAAAAGCTCCATAACTAAACTGATAAAAATAATGCGTAAATGCTAATAACGTAAGTTGTGTACAAATTCAAAAAGGAATCTGATGACTGATTTTGGCATAAAACTCATTAACCAAATGACTCTCTTAGGTGGAAGGTGTGTGCCTGTGATACCCATGTGTGCTTCCACTCTGGCCAGCCTGAGATAGAATAGACAGAATACTGCCCTTATGGCTGGTAAATCCCTGCTACCCAGCCACGAGCCCCCATATATTCTGATGAAACTGTGGAAGGAAAAAACATAGGGGATGGCAAGGGCGAAGACATTCAAACAACCACTCCACAGACCGCTCCAAAAATGCTCAATAAAGAACTTGAAGATACTAGCTGCGAACAAAGCTACCACATATCATGTGAGCCTGCACTTATGGGATTAACTGCTGGATGCTTGCTAAGTCCATGGACCGCTTGACTGCTAGGCTCGTGGACCGCTTAACTACTACGCTTGTGGACTGTTTGACATCTAAGCTCATGCACCGCTTGACTGCTAAGCTTGTGGTGGTTAACTTAGTTAAATTTCATTTAACAAAATTATATTCAAAATTTTAGGCTTGTTTCCAATCATCCATGTTGCCATGGCAACAATCAAAATCTTACTTTTAACCTAATAAATGTCATGTCTTGTGAATACATTTTGTTCATGCCAAATTTGAGATTTATACCTGCAACAAGTCTTAAGTGACACCATAATGATTGGTTATGATCCACAGCCTATCAAACTGTGTCCAGCCACCTTAACAGTATAATTTATAATCGGGTACCAATTAAACATTGTTTGAGTTAGTGACTAAAATAATTTTTGTCAACTGGACTATGAATAAAAATAGGATCACAAGCAATGGGAAACTAATTAAGCAATTAACTTAATTGTTTTATACCTTTCCTGCCAAAAACAGCATTTTGGTGTCTGGATCATAAAATGGCATCAGTATGCTGCATTTAAAAATGGATATGTTATATTAATTACCTAATACAACACACAAAATTATTTTCCTATGGAAATGCATTTCAAGGCTCGAAATTTTGACTCACTGGTCACCAATTCAACTAAAACTGGAGTGCTGGTGACTACATCTTAAGAACTGGTTACCAACTGGTAAGACATCTCATAAACATAAAACAGACACTGAATTAATAAAAAAAAGAAACATAAGACGACAAGATTAACATCAATATGAACAAACTGATGCTGAAGTCGAAAGATTTCTGAATAAAGTCAAGGGTAACTGTTACTATAATATTGTTCACGGATTTTACGAGTTCCCTAGAAAATGACAAAAAAGGGCGCTGTCAGTGAACTAGCATTCTCCTCTGATATGGCTACCATAGGATACCTTGAAGCCAAAAACTCACAACCAAAAAGTTTGACTTGGTGACCAAAATTTTTTCTCTGGTCACCAGCTGACACCTGTATTAAATAGTTATATTCCAGCATTTATTTGAGTAAGAAAACAAAAATTGAATGTGAAGCATTATAAATCGAATGCTTTAATTCAATAATAATTTAATATTGCTTTACTTTAAAAGAGCATCAAAATCTTTCTTAATACAGGAATCACCTAACAAGCTATGCATTTCATTTCTATTTGTGAGAGTTCTAGATTTCTTAAGACATTATGATATTACTTTTAACCTCCAACACCTTGACAATGTCATTGTTATGTACAGCATGAAACTGTCTAATAATTATTTAAAAAATTATTTTTTTACTTAATTTATGCAGTACTTTTATCTCGAAGCCTTTAGCCTAGCCTGAGAAAACAGCTAACAGTTTGTGACGTCAATTGATACTGATTTTCTTGCGAAATGATGTCTGAGAAACAAGTGCAGAAATTCTATACAGATGACTCATCACTACCTAGATCTACGTAGTGACAAGTCATCAGTATGGAATTTCTGCACTAGTTTCTTAGATGCCATTTTGTAGGGAAACCAGTGGTGGCATCACAAGATGTCAGCTGTTTTCTCAGGCTCCCTCCAGCCTTGCCTGTATTCCTTAACCATATGATGCATCTAGGACTGGAGTATTGCTACTTCCCACATGGATGAATCAAATGAACTCCATTGAAGATTTACATTGATTAATTTATCACACATATCCATATTATACAACCCATTGGAAGAAGAAAATGTGGAGGAACATTTATGGTCATCACAGGGTTTAAGCCACCAATACTCTAAAGCCTTACAACTATAAATCAAAAAACAATTCTATAAATTCTGCACCTACCCTCCAGATGATGAATCAAAGTTCAGTGTCTGCACTGGTTTGCTCATATTATGTACATCCCAAACTCTAACTTCACGCTTGTTAGACTGTAAAAACATTTAACATTTTTATTATTTATATTATTTACTTACCTACTTATTTATATCTACAGCACAGATTCACCAAATACTTGGCAGGGCTGCAAATATACATTTTCCCATAATATAATGTTGATCATGATACAATACATGATAAAATACATTACTGTGTATGGGGACTTATATAACCAAACATTTTGTAGTGAAGCTGTAGCAATGATGCATTTGAAAGGACCAAGGAAGGTACACAAGCATTGTTAATCACTACCTTGAAGAACATAAGAAGCATGCAAAGTATAGAATTAACACACAAGAGCTAAAATGCTGGGCAAGAAGTATTAAGCAGGGCTTGAAAAAAATTGAATTCCATTTTCCTAGCCTGGGGTAACATGCTACTTGCTTGTCTTAGTTGATGATTTTGTTAGAGGATGAGTTGCCTTGATCCTTGCCAATTGGGCAAGTGAGCCTCAAAAGTTACTCGTTCAGCAAGAAAATCAATTCTTTCTGGACTACTGAACAGGACCATTTTCAAGTCCTTAATTAAGCATGTGATTTCACAAATTTGTCAATGTATCTTTTTTTTTCACAAAGTAGTTGTGATCACTAAATGGAGAGATCATTGACATCTCATTAAAGAGCTCAAGTCCCAGTTGAAAGAGGGTTTCACAGAAAGGGGCATAACTATAGGCTGGTTGCTTTTGAGAGAGGTGGCAAGGTGAGCTTCAACAGAATACCAACAAATTGAAGTTTTCTTCTTTATTCCTGTAGTGCATGAAAGTACTTATAACAAAACCTAGTCAAAAGGGAATCAACCACATAAGGGAGGTTTGGCTAATTGTACAACTATTCTTACCGCAGTAAACCCAGAGCCAAGAATTCGGTCGGTATCTCCTAGCCACAACAGTCTAGTATCCTTACTTCCTCCAAAGCCATCACATTCCTACAGCACAATACAATGTGTAATCATTCATTTTTCACTGACAATTGTAGTGAAATGTAAGCAACCACATCAAAGTATTAACCTCTATCACAAGAAAAATGAACCAGAAAAGTTATATGTTTTGATCAAGGAGTTAACAAACTCAGCTGTAAAAACTATATTCTTTTTGTTTTCAACTTTATAATAAAATAGATACATGTAGAAGCATACATGTGCACTATGCACAAAATAATAAGATATTTATTTCCACACTTATAATCTTTATTAAATAGAGTTATTAAGATAAACTATGCATTTACCTCAACACTAGAAGCGTTTCGAGGATCTACCACATGAATTTTCTTGTCCTGAAATAAAATGGAAGAACATACAGTATATGACATAACAAACCCAATTAATGACCAGCTCCCAGTTTGCTTGCTAGCTCAACTACTTAGAGGACTGCAAGCCTAAATTTTTCAGGCTTCCTTTCCGTAACTGCATAAGTTGCATTCTTTAACTGCAATGACCTTCATTTCATCTTATTTTTTCATTCCTTGGTTCCCAGATACATGAAATTCACATATTTATCATCATTTATCGAGAGAGCTATAAATTAAACTCGCCTGACCATGATATGGCAGCTTACATTAAATCATAATTAGGTATGAGGAACCAAATTTCTTCAAGCTATTTAGTTTCTATTGGGCTTCCTCGCCACTCTATCAATTAAAAAAGTCAAGTTACTTAGTATTACATTTAATTTTGAAGTATTTTTGGAGCTTTTCCTGCCCTGTAAATTTGCAATCTTAGTAATATATATATTTTTCTTTTTCTTTCTGTAATATTTATTCTATGTGGCAAACGTAAAAGAAAAAAAGAAAAAATAAATCAGCTTACGGTTGAATTTTATTCTAAGACAATACTTGCTGCTACAACATTTTTTTCCTGTCCACTTCAAGAAAAATAAAGGCCTTGGTATAGTCAACTGTTACTGGTTCAATTAACACCTTTTTTAACTTCTACTGCTTGTATCATAAAGCTTCAGGAAAGATTTCTTACAACACAGAAGAAAGTCATGTACCTTACTTGATGTAACTAATAATGAACCGTCTACTTTCCAACAAAAACTCTGAATCAAATCCTTGTGGTCTTTCAATTCTGTAATGTACAACAAATTGAACAAGGCTTTAATGTTAAAGCATCTTAACCATATGAAAACTTTACTTTGTACAAAAAATTCACTGCTAAATTTTAAGCACGGTCTGCTTACAAACTTAAGATCTATTTCTAGGAGCTTTTCAAGGACGTTCTGGAAACTACTTTTGTTTTTCAAAGGCTCTTCCTTGTTTTAAATTAAAGGCACACTTTCCAGGCAAAATTCACAGCAAAAAGGGCTGCCAACAACACTAGACACTACACTGTGTGACAGGAATCCAAGTGAAATGGGCAAGACTAATACTAAACAAATTTCAAAAACAGGAATACCCAAACTTGTACTTAAAATCTCAACTTCATATTGCTATCTCCAAGTCTGGTGAAAATCCAAGGACGATTGGAGAAATTTAAGGACTTCTTAAAGATTATATTGACTAGAATTAAAGGACATTTTGAGGACTTCCTCTGAAATTCAAGGCCTTTTGAAGATTGTGCGAACCCTTTTAACTATTTCAAACTTATATTTTATCCACAAAACTGCCTTTTTCAGTCGATAAATGTTTGTTGAAATGGTAACAATTATCACAATAATATTGATATAAGTTATGCAATGACTTTATGTAGTTTATAATAATACTCACCATATTTTGGCTGTTGCTTCTGTAAATCCCAGATTGTAAGAGTTTTATCACATGAACTACCAAGTACCTGTTTTAAAAGACAATACTTATGATGAAAAAAGAGTGAGAGAGACATGCCAAAATTTAATTATTAGCTGTTGACTTTCCTTAACTAAGGCCATCCTTTTTCTCCTTTTATTGTCGTCTGACGGACCCAAATTTTTGGCGTTTTCAAAAAAAAAAAGTAACGACATAGTTACACCATTTTTCACTTAAAATAATTCTTTTAACCTGAAAAATGAACATAGTAACAGCATAGAGAAAAACAGGAACAAAAACATGAACATTTTTCACAGTATATTGTACATTTTGTTAATCCAAATATGTGAATGTTAACTTTTAACGTCGTCCTGGGGTACCAGAGCCTACTATTCCGAAACTTCTTGTGATTTTTTTTAGGTTTTTTTTTTTCAATCCGACCGACCAACCCAACATCAGGAAACCCATTTGACGGTAAACAAAGAAAAAAAAGGGATGGCCTAACCAAACCGGATGGAAAACTGTTATAAACCCCATATTTACATGTACTAGGTTAAGCTCACCTCACTTGCTGAAGGATGGAAGAGGACATTTTCAACACGACCCTTAGCAACAAATGTGAAAAAAGAAACATCTTAGTTACATGTCAAACAAAGCAAAGGTAAAAATATCACAATGAGCAATTTAATTCTATACTCACATGTTGCATGGGAAGTTCACAAAGAGGTTTGGACAACCCCTTAAATTCTTCATCCGGGATTTCCCATAATTTTATCTGGAAAGTGAAAACCCACTTAGATATCACTAAAGAGATTTATACACTCATCTAACTTGCACCATTTTAGGGGGACAAAATGGGGTGTTTGTCCTTTATAGTCTGAATTTTACACATTACTTCTCGCATAGAGCAGGAAGCCTTGCCCATGTTGGTATTTTCACGTCTTTGTCACTTCTGCAGTTTGAATTCACCTTTACGTCTTTGTTGACATTTCAATTGTCCTGTGTCCTTGTTTTAATGCCATGATATTAATTGTTGGAATTTCCCCTAACAGGGCCCTTTTGAGAAATGCGGGTACTATTCAAAAACAAATTTTTGAGTTGCCTCCGAGTCTGTGTAACCCATGTTTTACCTTTAAGCCCTGCTTTGGAGTGTTATGGCAGAACTGTACATCTGTATCAAAAGCACTTGCCAAAAGTCAGAACTGGCCAGCTGGACAGACCATCACAGCTGACGTAATTTAACTCCGCTGAGTAACATCTGCGAAGCTGTGCTGATGTTCTTGCTCTGGGCCCTCAATGGCTTAAACAAATTACTGGAAATGCTTGTTGAATTCCTTTTCAACCTGAGCTCAGTTGTTTGAAGGCCGGTTAGTGCTAACCAGGGGTTAAATTGTAACCCGCAATGCTTTATCTTTTTATCAAAAGCACTCTTTCAGATAATTTTCTCTATTCTTTTTAGAGTATCCAATCATCAAATTGTAGGCAAAGAAAATTAAACTAAATTTGCTTTTTAAGCTCCCATATCTGAGTTCAAATTTTGCACTAACCCTGGGTTATCTTAACCCAGCTTCAAACAACCCGGGCCAGATGGGCAAATCAACAATGGCTTTACTAACAGGACTTCAACTGCGTTTGTGGTGCAGGCTACTGGACGGGTCACTATAAAAAGGAATATTAGGCTTTTCTTGGGAATTTTTGCTAACAACCCATCACTGTCATAAATGCTTATTGGGAACAATATAGACTCGTCTGGCCAGATGGTCCTGATTAAAAGTGAAATTCTCTTTACACCCGGACTGGTCTCATTCACATTCTCTACACATCTTCTTGATTGGTATACCATTCACAGTTACAAAATAAACATAATGATGATGTCTCTTTTAACACTCTCCCAGTCATTATTTTATTCAAATATTTATACTTACTGCTCGATCATAAGAACAAGTACAAAGGAGTGATCCATCAAAGGGCGAGAAGTCCATGTCAGTAATAAAATCTACATAAAAACAATGACAGTACAACAATGTAACTAGTAATAATCAAAGGTTAGGGAGTGCCCACAAGTTTCAGGCTTCTGATCGAAGGTCAGAACGCTCTTGTTCCAGCACTGAAGATTGTGAGTGATAGAATGTCCCACTGGTGTGATCAGATTGCATTCTATGTACAGCCAACTCTTGCCTTGCAGACACCCCGATAATGAGGACAGCAGCTAAATTTACAGCAAAAACAAATTGCAAACGTATGACGAAAATAAACTTTCCCTATTACAGACTCTCACTAATAGGGACACAAACTTGACGTCCCAACAGTGCCTGCAATCAAGGGAGTTGACTGTATTCCCTTCATTTTTAGCGGAAGTCTAAACATATGCTGGCTATATACATGCCAATCATGTTTGACAGCAACCTGGAGATTAGAATTTCTGTCTCCTCTTGTCACACACAAAAAACAGAAAGTAACTTACAAGCAAAGAGGAAAAGTGGTAGATACCTGAATGTGCATGAAGCAATGGAAGTGAATGATCCTTCCTGCCCTTTTCTCCAAGTGGAAGAACACCAAGACTTCCTCCTTTAGACAAAAAAGATAAGAAAATTTACACCTAAAAATGCAAGTACCATAAAATCAGGAATCTTGTTGTAAAATAGTTTCATTTCACCATGTATATGTTGTAGGTCAAAATGAAATTCACATTAAAATGGTTTCACCCTACTTTGATACTCAATTTTCTGTCTCTTAGCCCTAAAAGAAATTGAGAATCAACCAAAGTTGAAACCATTTCAAACTGGACTTATTTCATTTCGACCTACACTAAAATGGTTCGTGGATAATAGAGTGGTTTTCGTTTGAGTGTCGTAAAACCAAAACCAAAGTAATTACTCTGGCCAATCACATAGGACACAGACAATACATTAAACCAATCAAAACTCGAAGTAATTACATGTGGCTGACGCAAAGCGCGAGTCACAATTGGCTTTGGTTTTACTTCTGATTGGATGAAAAGGTGGCGCGAATCTTTTAAGCCAATCGCATCGTGTAGAAAGTGCAAAACCAATTACTTTTCGACACTCAAATGAAAACCGCTCTAAAGCAGAGCAGCAATGTTTGTCATTTTTGCCAGTTGTACTGTAGTGTCAAGCACTCTACCAGCCTCTTCACTAATAAGCACATTGATTCTATTGTTACAAAAATCATAATTTTAAAATGTTGCGCTCGTTGCAAAGCTACGCCACTTTCTACCTCGACCAATACTACTGAACATCTATTTAACTTATGGTCTTACTGCCTAGAGTCAGGCAGAGAGAGCACTTTGTTTGTTGTACTTTGCAGACTGGCATGACCATACAATTCCATTACTAATTTCTTGAAGCTAACCTGCTACCAATAACTTTTCTTTATCATGAGTCTCTATCAATATTATTTCAATTCACAATATCAATAATGAGAAAGCCCCAACAAAAATATTAATTTATTCAGAAAACATCTCATGTTCACTCACACAATACATGATCAACCACGTCCGGAAAGTTTTACGTCAAAAGTGCCAGACTAGAAATACAAAACAATTCTTTCTCCAGGCTCAGAGTTAAGGTGCGGAATGAGATACCACACTATATAACAGATCTGCCTAAGAAAACATTCAAGAAAGTTCTTCGTAAATTGCAATTTGATATCTTAGAAAAAGAAGATCACTATATTCCGATCCCTGCAATCATTTAAAAAGTCGGTCTTTGTAGATAGATATACTTGCTAAATTTTTAACTTTCCTTTTCTGTGTTATTCATCTTTAAGAGTGACTCCTTATCTTAGTGCATTGTTATATTAATTAATAAAGTACGTCAGTAAGTACTGAGTAGTTAATTAGATCACTGAACTTCTTTGTTTTATTCTTCATTTCAACTGTGCAAGGCTTTGTAAAGTGCAGTGTTTTTTGTTTTTAGTAGATATGTTATTCACGTACTTGTCTTGCCCCACCACAACTAGCTTTCAAGCTATTTGCGAGGCAAGCTATTTAACCGCTAGTGCATGCAAGAATAAAATTGTTGTTGTTGTTGTTGTTGTTACACACGTGCAGCTTACCTCCAGTTTCCACATTAAATACCATGAAACTGTCACTTGCTTTGATGTGATTCCCATAAGAACTCTTCAAGGCCCCGACATGGATACCAGTAACACATTCCTAAAATAATGTCAATACCCATAAAATCATTTTTGTATCAGTACCAGCATATAAGTGCAAAATGCAAAATGAGTACTTAATAATAATATATAAAAATAATTTATTATTTATAAGGCACAAAATAGCATTTAAATATATGATCTAATGATTAATAGAACATTAAGGTAAGAAGAAAAAGAAAATGATCAGCAAAGCTAAAATGTCAAAAGTTTTTATTTTTTCTTATGGGGGGCATTTTCTCCACCTATTGTAATCCCTCTCTCAAATAAGCACCTCTTGTCTAATATATGCCACCCTCTTCACTTTCCTTCTTATATTGGATGCACCTCTCTAATAAATGCCCCACTAACTTGCCCCACATGACAGCTCTGAAGTCATTTAGCAGAACAAGGCTTGTTGTGCTGCATGGCAGTGGTACAACTTGGTTTCAAATATTTCTGCTGTTGTGTGGGAGTCAATCACCTTACCTCCATAGAAATGCTATCAATCATCATTCTTCATTATAAAATTTATAATTTTATGATCGATAGCAAATTTAATTTGCCAAAATATTTCTCTGTTTACAAGACATTTTAATAAGTCTCTCAGTCAAGCTGATGTTCTCAAGAAACCCTTCTATTATATTTAATAAGAGCTTTTCACTTGTTCTCAGTTGTGATCTGGGAGGGAATCAAGGTGTTAATAGTGAAAAAAAAAAAGACCTTTTAAAACTACCTGTTCCACCCACCATTTAAAGAGGGTATAAATTTAGGACATTTGAAACTTGAAATACAAGTTCAACAAAGAAAGTTATGATCTCAACCAAAAATACAGTACTTACAAACAGTAGAATTCATGACAGTGCTTCAGATCCTAGAAAGACTGTAGCAACCTTTCATTCATTTTATGGTCATGGCCGTAGGACTAGTAGGGCGGCCGGGTGGGCCTGTGCTCCTCCACTTTCTTTTGTGGGGGTGGTGGTGGGGTGGGGGGGGGGGGGCATGAAAATATAATTGTGGGAAAGGATACCCACAGACCCCTTACAAGAACAGACCTCTAAAGTTTACAGTTGAGTAGACCATCAGTGATTCTAACCGTTTTGTCCTCTCACTTTCAAATTCGTTCCAAGGGAGCAGACGTTAATGACACCAACATTCAGAAGTCTAGCTATACTTGACATGGGGTCATCGACTTCTCAACATTGACAACTCTAAAACTATTACACAATAATTAAGCGTACTTTATTATTTAAGTTATCGCTGGGTTATCTGTTTCTTCCTTACAAAGCAAGCCGGAAAAGACTAACCTAACAACAAAATCAGCTGAGACAAGAAACTTCGGCCAGCTGATGCACAACGGGAAGATTGTTGTTTAAATGGGAAAATCACAAAATCCTTAACGTTTACCTCTTTCTTGGGAATCTTAGGAGCAGCATTTCGGTATTTAGAAGTCTGAAAACGCTTCATCTTTGCAGGTTCCTTGCGAAAAGACAAAATTCTTGTCCGTTCGAGGGATCAAACAGGCAGCGAGCTCGCTGACTTCCTCCGTTTTGAACGACCGCTACCTCTCATGGGATTATGTTACATATTTCCGCGGGAAATGCTTGAGAGCTCGGAAATAGCCGGCCATCCGCAGGGAACGACCGGGAGCGGAGAAGAGGCGGAATTTTGTTTGTGTTTTTCAGGCGAGTGAAAGGAGTGGAAAGTTTAATAAAGGGAGGATTTTTCTAATATCAGTATATGTACCGTAAATGACCTAATAACGCACGGGGCGTCGATTTAATTTTAGGGGACCAAGAGGGGGTTAGATCAAATGTCAGCCCCCGCCCCCCAACGAGTTATATTGGGGGATGGGAGAGCTGACCTTTCAGAAGAGCATGTATTTTCGTTGCCTGCGTGCAGACGTCCCTTTTCCGCGTGCAACAAAGGAAATAGGAGACGTCTGCACGCAGGCAAGTATTTTCGTATGTACATCAGTATACGGTATGGTATCTAGCCGATTTTTTGAAAGCGAACCCAACGAAATTTACAGTCATGTAAGTGAAAAAGGGTCAAAAGGCAGGTTTTTTTGCGCCAAAAAGCTCGAGAATCACAACATCGAGGGAAAAGGAAAGGAGAAAAAGAAAGAGCGAGGGGGACGAAAGGAGGAGAAGAGAAAAAAGCAATGGTTACACTCTTAGGTTTATAATGGCTACTTTGGAGAGTTTTTGGCCGAAAAAACCTGTTTGACGGAAGAAGTCTATTTGGTAGAAAGGTTTCAAACATCCGGCTAGATATAAAGTGAGGTAGAAGAAGACTATATCGAACTATAGCCACTAGTAATCGCTAGTCAGCAACGAAAGGACAAATAGACTTGCTCTGTGTTCCAAATGTTCGTGCGTTTTTTTGAACAGGAAAAAACATTTTGCTTTTTTAAGCTGTCGGGACTGCAAAACGCCTTCTAAAATAAAGATCAATATTCACTCTTTCCATGAAAAATTTCCAGCAGCCTGAACGCCCTTGATATTTATTTATTCCGCGTGGCCAAAGGGTTTCGGGACGCATGGTCCAAGCGAAAATGGGAAAATGTTTCCCGCCCGTTTGCCTCGGATACGTCACCAAAATGAACTGACTGAGAATAATTGGAAAAATGCCGTTTAGGGACTAGGCAAGGGTGTATCTAGAACTTGTGCCCGGCTCTAAGATTAAAGGGACATCACAAAAATTAGGCAAGCAAAATAAGATGTGCGTGATCTGGGAAAGGGGGCAGTGGTGGAAGAGAAAGAGAGAGATCACTTCCTCTCTTCCCAACCCCTGTGCATTTTTGCAGCAGTTTTGAAGATCTCTAGACATTACTATCCTAGAGCCTGGGACAATGTACTTGAACAAAACATAATTACCTTCCCCTTCACAAACAAGTAGCCAGAGACAACAAGAGACCAAAGTGAATTCTTCAAGATACAGGTAAATATTTTCCAACATTATTCATTACATTCAGAGGTTCTAAGACTAGTATTTCTACCATTGAACATTCAACCTTACTCACACTATGAGCCTTTTAAAGAAGCCTTGTAGCTGAGGGATTGCCTGTGTCACTTGATGAGAGTCAAAATTGTCTTGTGTTGTTGTTTTGTCAATACTTCACTCTGCTGTCAGACATTTAAAGTAATCAAAAGAAAGGATGTCTTTTGTTGTGATTTCATATGCCATTCACCTAGTCGTAATTTAACCTAGCGACACATCATGGTGCTTAGCACTGGCTCACTAGAGGCAAACAGCTCAGTGCTGAGTGTATTCCTCATTACAAAATACTTTGCCACATCTCAATGTAACTTATCAGTATTACTTATCTGCAAAGGCACTTGTGCCCTGTACCCTACAAGAATGTCTGTTAGCAGGCTGTCATTTTGTACTGACTGTCCATCAAATTACAACTTGGACCAAGGCCCAGTTGTTTCGAATGCCAGTTAGCGCTAACCACATTTATCACATCTCAATGTAACTTAGCAATATTACTTATCTACCAAGGCACTTGTGCCCTATACCATACAAGAATGCCTGTCAGCAGGCTATCATTTTGTGCTGACTGTCCATCAAATTACAACTTGGACCAGGGCCCAGTTGTTTTGAACGCCAGTTAGCCCTAACCCGGGGTTAAATTTTAACCCGGGTTTCTTTTTCTTTTTATCAAAAGCACTCTCCCGGATAATTTTCTCTATTCTTTTTAGAGTATCCAATCATCAAATTGTAGGCAAAGAGAATTAAACTGAATTTGTTTTTTTAAGCTTTTATGGCTGAGTTCAACTTTCACACTAACCCCGGGTTATCTTAACCCATCTTTGAACAACCCGGCCCAGACGATTAATGTACCATTTGCATTTCCTTCTTTTAGACCATGTATAGCCAATGATATTCACCACTATTAAAGAAACAGCTGTTAAAGGAATGAATCTTGTGCTGCTGAATGAAGCTCTTGATAGCTGTCAAACCCAGTTTCTTCGTCAGCAAGTGGAATCAGTGGCATGGGCATGGGAATATGTGGGATGTTTACTTGCACGGAGGCAAAGCTCTGTGGAGAGAGGGGATTTAATGTTGGTGACACAACAAATGAGCTTCTTTGATCAGGAGAGCTTTTGTCAATGACAGGTGATGAATTTGTTGCTGAAGATGAAGATGCAAGTGTCTTCTGCTTGGCGTTTTTTGTCCTTGGTTTCTTTGCAGGTGGCTCCTTGGGGACTTTATCTGATGTGTACTTTTTCATTTCTTTTTCATATCTTTCTTTGTCTTTTTCATACATCTCATAATACACCTAAAACATGAAGAAAGTTATGTATCATTAAAGGAGCTATGTCTTGCGACTTGCTATCCTTTTAAAAACCAAAAAAAGTTTCTGCACATCACTTGAATTTGAAAAATAATGATCCAGTTTAATAATTGTAATTTAAGACTTTATTTAAGCACTGAAACTGTTTTCTGTTGCCATGGATGACGAGGATGGACATGGAATGAAACAGGTTTACTTTATTTAACTATTCCCTCGTCTGCTGAAACTTGGAAAATCTTTGGAACCATGCTGTGTCAATTTTTTTTTTTCGCTTAAGCTGACATTTTAAGCGAGAAAAATCTGTATTTTGGATACCATTTTTTTGGCAAAACAAGAACTGATCATGTGTGCAAGACTACGAGTTCACAGCTGGTAAGAATTTCTCTTTTAATCAGTGCAATAAGAAAGAGTTTTGTGATTTTTCTTGGGAAAGTTAATTTATAAAAGCGGTAGAAAGCTTCTTTCCTGTATTTGCATAGCCTGATATACACACTGGAGGGGTTGGGAGAATTCTCAACAGTTATGCAAACTCTCAACTCCATCTTGGGTTTGCATAGCTGTCGAGAATTCTCCCAACCCCTCTCGTGTTTATGTCAGGCCATGCAAACACAGAAAACATTTTCCATTGCTTAGAGCGGTTTTCACTTGACTACACTAGCCAACCAAAGGGCGTAGTAAAACCAAAACCAAACCAATTCCTCAATTACTTTTGACAGTCAAGTGAAAACCGCTCTAAATATGTAATATTGTGGCAAAGGTTTTTCAATGGCGAACATGACGGGGACCAGCTCTGAAGTACAGCCTGGATAAGATAAGTTTAAACAACACATGCCTTCTTGTCATCAGTGGCCAAATTATTCCACTCTTTTGCCAATGACTTTGTTAACTCGTGATGTCCAATACTTGGATCCTTATGATCATCCTGCATAACAGTACGCTGCTGCTGACAGTACATGAAGAAGGCATTCGCAGGTTTCTTTGGAGCATTGGGATCCCTGTCTTTATCTTTGTCCTTAGCAGTCTCGCGTTTCTTGCTCTTTTTTACGGCAGGTGAGTCTGGACTAGCAAACTCGCCAGGGAAAAAAGATGGAGGGACTGGTTTTGAGAATGCTTCGGCAACTATTTCTGAAAGCAGTTCAGCCTAACAGGAGAAATAAAATAAATTCTGGGCTGTCAATAAGATTTCGAATTGCTGAGAATATGCAATTAGCAGGCCCCAGTTGTTCATATGGTGAATTATTCTATCCACTGGATAGTGCAAATGAATTCCCTAATACTTAACTGCTCTATATTGATTTATTTGGTGGTTGTACTATCCAACATTTGAATAACCTGCGAGCAAGCTCTCCAATTGGGGGATATTGTGAAAAGTAAACGTGTGAGCGGCACATGAGAGGAGAGGCAACAGCGAGGGGTGGGAGAAAGGAGAGCTTGCAATGATGTTTGATATAGTTTTATTTCCAGCCTGGAAACCGCAGGAAACCACAAAGCATTAAGACTATCACTGAAAAGAAGAAATGTGTCAGCGGCTTTTCAGTTTCTTGTATTGGGCCATATGCGCCAATACTGCTAGGATTCCAAAAAGAGCAAAATATTACAATTTCTCACTAAGACAAGACTACTAAAAGAAGATAACTTGTCTGGACCTTCTGGTCATTGCCTATAAACTGAGTTTGATCTACAATATTCTTTGAATTCAGCGGAGACATGTCGCTTCAAAGCCACTGCAAATGTCAGAAATCACATTCACTACTTTCCAATGCAATTGTTTTCTTTTTTCCATGAGGAGACCAATTTTCCATGTATCCGCTAGGATATGAAATAAACTGCTTTTGTTGGAGGAAATACACAATAAACGCGGTTAGATTTAGTATCGTAATATGTTCTCCTGGAACCATTTCTCAGCCTTTTGATTTGCCGGTTTATACAATCCACAGGCTTAAGATCCAAACTGAACCGTAAAAAGACACAGTTCACAGTTATCTTTCACAAAAGGAGAGAGCAGTCTCCTTCCTCATAAAAAGTAGCAACCTTCTTGATTTCCGTAAGCATTGTTTTTCTAAATTCACGGCAAGGAATGTCATCGATCAAAATTAATTGACAGTGCATAATTTTTAAGCCAATGGCTTTGCTTTGTCTGGGCAAAGTAGAAATGCAAATTTATAAGAAATCATTGCAAGCTCTCTTTCCCCCCGCCCAGCCGCTTGTCGCGCATTCTCAAGCGGCTTGCTCTGCTCACCCCAAAGGAGAACTTGCTCACAGGCTGAACATTTGAACAACTGGGACCAGGTGGAAAATTTAAAGGGAAGGAAGTTCTTTTGCCTCCATTTTCCTTTTGTTTCCTACAAAAGTAGCCAGGGTTCATGCTTATTGTCATCAGGGAAAATCCCTGGCCACATCCTTGGTGTGACAGTCCTGAAAATTGTTAAGGCTAGTTTGCGCATAATCAGATCCCCATAATTTCATTGTATTTTGGGGAATGACAGTTTTAAAGTAAAATTAAAATAAATTAAATTAAGTTAGTACAAATTATCTTCCATTACTTGGAAACTCCAGAAAGAGACCAGGTGACCCATGGTCTGATCTTAACGTTTGCACTATGTACTATGTTACTCAGAGAATACAAAGCCCTTTTAGTAACAACATGACTAGCTTCAAATTTTTCCAAGTCATTTGATTCTAGTAAGCAACCACCTCCTGTAATTGACCTCCAAGGGGGTGTTTACATGAGAAAACTCGCACTGGGATGACTTTTTTTATTTTGTATCGCGTTTACATTATGATTGGGTCATTTCATATCTCGTCATTTAAAGGTACACCTCATGTTGATAAAATACACGTAAGATTCAAAATCGCAAACATTACGCATGCGCTACCCGTTCCAGTCTACTGGCAGACTGATTTCACGCCGAAACATGTGGTCATTTTGCGTTTACATGATACTGTTGCAAGATTTCGTACCGCAGTGAAATTCTCGCCCCGGTACAACGACCGGGGTGAACTCATGCCGGGGTGACTGGCGCCTGGATGAAATTTTGCGGTGGTATCATGTAAACAAATGTAGAGCCATGAGAGGGAACCAGAGTGAGCTCACTCCGGCGCGAAAGTCGCCCTGGTGTCATGTAAACACCCCCCTAAATCTTAACATTTACCCTAAAGGGAGTTTCAACTGTATTTTAAAGCATTTATGGACTCGTCACCAACTTGGAATCTCCATATTAAACTCTATAAATCTGGGTAGGAAAATTCTGTAAATATCTCCTCCATGTTTAAAAGAACGCAATTACATAAACTTTGGCAACATAGTTGTATATTAATCTTCTATCATCTCTCAGATTCTTGACTTTACTCATCAAAATAATCAACATGACATCACAGTGGAAACAAGTAATTTATTAACAATGAATACAAACGATGTAGATATAGAGTGCAACACAAGCATACCTGAAATGGAGATTGTGCATCTCGAAAGTCATCATTGTAATCATCTAATCTGTCCTTGAGAAAGCTAAAAAAAAGGAGACATTTATTCTTAAGCTCAAAAGTAAAACACAAAAGTTACTGTAATGGCTCTATCAATAATATTACAAGCATACCAATCCCCCAGACATTACTTGGCAATTTGTCCTTTTTTCTTGAAATGCTGCCGAGCAATTCACTTTACAGTTTGGGCCACCAGATTCATACAAAAACCCGGCAATGGGGCTTAAAAATGTGTCCAAATGTCCCTCCCTGGAAACAAGACATCTAAAAAAATGGATTTTGTTACTTTTAAGGGACCTTCACTTTATAGAGGAAAAAACTTACTGAATGCACGAGCAAAATGATGAGTTTATGCAACAATGTGACAAATCTATGTGCCAAATGTAAAATGTAGAAGAGAAAAAAATGTCAGTTATTTTCTGCATTATTCTCACCTGAATCTATGGTAAATGGCCTAAATTCCCAAAAATTACAAAGAAATGTCCTGACTGCGACATTGATGGTTCGTAGCTAAAAGATGCTTTCAAGAATGACCAGTATTTGCACTTCATTAGTTCTTTGTTGTCGAACTGATGTGACAGTACTTTTTTCCTTGTTTTAAACTCGTCATTTTGCTCGGGCAATGACTTATAAAGCTACAGTCCCGTAAAAGTAATGAAAGCCAAAAAAAAAATGCCAATTCATGGCATAGGTGAAACTGAAAAAGACGAACAATATGCTTCATAACTACAATACAGCCACAATACAGAATAGAATTAACTGAGAGTTTTCCTAATTTTTCAGACAGACCTTAGATTTTTTAATAAAATAAGATCATCTTGACCATGCAATTATTTTACCATGACAAAAAAAAAAATGTAATTTGGCCTCCAAAGTGTCACTTTATACAGTTAAACCTTGCCATGGCATTCCTTGCAAACAAAGACGATTTCTCTTGAAATTCTTTGCAACCTTCCCAAAGCTGTTCTTAGCCTTTCTCCAAAAGAGGGTTATCTTCTCTTCAAAATAACTTTCACCTGGTTAGTGTTCGGCAAAGAAAATATCTATTACAACCCAATTTTTCAAGATCCTTTAGAGATATAATCTACCTTTAATATTAAGTTTCTTTTTGTTTACTTTTTATGTGTCATATATTTTCCCTTTTCAAAGCGGTGAAAAATTAGACATTCATATATGACGAATTCCCCACTCTGGCAGGCCTTAAAGACAAATACCCACCATGGGAAAACAGCACTAGAAAAATGCCGGACAAATGCCAGGGGGAGATGGGAAGGCTTAAATATGAATAGTGTCATAGTGTCAAAGCTTGATTCTAAACCAACATAGTCTAAAATCATCACGTCATCTCTGTTTCATTGAATGAGTTACATCAAAAAAATATGTAATCTGAATAAAACAATATAGAGACAATAACGGCACCATTCCTACCTTCGTTGTTTTCGGTAACGTTTAAGGAGACTCTTAACGTGATAAATTCGATTCACCAATCTCTCGTTCTCCTGAAAGAACATCAATTCTTGTAATTCAAAAGACTTTTAGTGTACCTTTTTTCGAAGGCGGTTGGCATATTCTTAAAGAACATAATCTCACCTGTTCTATCTGCCTGCAGTTTTTAAGAAGGGTAAAATACTTTCCTTTCCACAAGCCTTCATGATCCAAAGAGATACTTTCTGTGACCTCCTGTTCACTGTCGTCCGCCATCTTGCCTACTTTCCTACCCAGCAGCCTTTGCTTTATAACCGTAAAGCCGGAAATAAAACGTTTACCTGGGAAGCAACTGTGAAGAAGCGTTTCGCGCGAGTTCCCTAGTCCCTGGGGCGCTCCCCCTTGTCGGGTCCAGTGTAGGAATAGTTTGCAAAACTGCCTTAACACGCTGATCTTTCAGAAACGTGCAAAAAAACTCACAGATAACTTTCATACAGGCAAAGACGTTATTGATCCTGTACACGAGGGCTCTCCCCCCTTGGGCGGAGCACTTAGTCCCCAGGGCTCTCCCCCCTTGGGCGGAGCACTTAGTCCCCAGGGCTCTCCCCCCTTGGGCGGAGCACTTAGTCCCCAGGGCTCTCCCCCCTTGGGCGGAGCACTTAGTCCCCAGGGCTCTCCCCCCTTGGGCGGAGCACTTAGTCCCCAGGGCTCTCCCCCCTTGGGCGGAGCACTTAGTCCCCAGGGCTCTCCCCCCTTGGGCGGAGCACTTAGTCCCCAGGGCTCTCCCCCCTTGGGCGGAGCACTTAGTCCCCAGGGCTCTCCCCCCTTGGGCGGAGCACTTAGTCCCCAGGGCTCTCCCCCCTTGGGCGGAGCACTTAGTCCCCAGGGCTCTCCCCCCTTGGGCGGAGCACTTAGTCCCCAGGGCTCTCCCCCCTTGGGCGGAGCACTTAGTCCCCAGGGCTCTCCCCCCTTGGGCGGAGCACTTAGTCCCCAGGGCTCTCCCCCCTTGGGCGGAGCACTTAGTCCCCAGGGCTCTCCCCCCTTGGGCGGAGCACTTAGTCCCCAGGGCTCTCCCCCCTTGGGCGGAGCACTTAGTCCCCAGGGCTCTCCCCCCTTGGGCGGAGCACTTAGTCCCCAGGGCTCTCCCCCCTTGGGCGGAGCACTTAGTCCCCAGGGCTCTCCCCCCTTGGGCGGAGCACTTAGTCCCCAGGGCTCTCCCCCCTTGGGCGGAGCACTTAGTCCCCAGGGCTCTCCCCCCTTGGGCGGAGCACTTAGTCCCCAGGGCTCTCCCCCCTTGGGCGGAGCACTTAGTCCCCAGGGCTCTCCCCCCTTGGGCGGAGCACTTAGTCCCCAGGGCTCTCCCCCCTTGGGCGGAGCACTTAGTCCCCAGGGCTCTCCCCCCTTGGGCGGAGCACTTAGTCCCCAGGGCTCAAGGAAAAAAACAATGTAAATAAACTTACCTTGATACTTACCTTTTTTACTTACCTTCGGTTGTCTGTTGTGTACTTTTAAATATTTGGTCCCTGGCGGCCTTTTGACTACTTTTTTGTTGTATCAATCTTGGTGTTTTTTTGTTTTTGGTTTACGCTAAGGAATTTAGCTCCTTGTAAGGTTCCGTTTTGTCTACAAAACGGTACTTGCTTTACTGAATTCAAAAGCGTAAACTTCTTTTAGATGGTGATGTTTTTTGGGGGTGAGGTCTGAATTGGTTTAATTTATAGCTAAATATAACATGTTGTCTTGGTGTATATACCAAACCAGAATTGTCAAAGTGCCCAAAAGTTTACATTAAAATTATTGGAAAGAAATATTTAACATGAAAGGAAATGTAACTTAATCGTTGAGCCTCGAGACCTTATATAGAATAATTACTGAGCGCGTACTTTTCCATAGTTTTAGGACGAGCAGGTTATTATTATGGTCACTGAATTGAAACAGTAGGTTACTATTTCTCATAATGTTCTTCTGTTCCACCTCAACGACCTGTTCTTAAAACTTGTTTAATATAATAACCTGTTCAAAACAACGGAAAATTGCATGAAGACCCGACTTATCGACTGTGTTCTGCAGAAAATGAACTTACCATAAGTTTGGTATATACTGAATAAATGACAGACACACAAATGAGTTGGCTGCATATCCTTGTAAAGGACCGTGGCAGTGCTTTTATTGTTATTTTGAACACTTTCTTGGACGACAATTCGTTCTGCTTTTCTTTATAGTCAGGTAGTACCTGTTAAAAAAATGGAAAGCGTTATTTGTTGTTGTAAATACCACGGTACTAACGTGTTAAGAATTGCACTCCGAATAAATGTTATTTTCTCGTTTAACTGGTTTCTCGTTACCTTCAGTTTTATTCACACCTGTCTTGCCCCTCTGTCGACCATTATCTTGTGCCAGCCTTTGAAGTTTATTTTATTAGTGTAGTCTACAGAAGAGGAAAGTTCTTCAGTTAAAGAAAAAAATTTTTACTACAGTAGACATCAACAAAATAGGCCTATTTGACCCTAACAACCGCAACTCGCGTTTATCTTGTTGACTACACGTAAACCTTTATTACATATTTGTCCCTCCAGTTCAACGTTCATCGAGCCAAAAAATCACAAAGAAACAATGCATGTTTACAAGTAACTTCTGGCGACACATAGAATAACACACAGAGACAGAATTCTGACAGAAAGTCCTTTATGTAAAGTCCAAAAGAATAATTTCTTTCTGGAGCAAAAATAACCAGTATTGTAAGAACCGTTAAAGCAATTTGGACGCTAATCACAATACATTGAGAAAAACAGCACTCACTTCAACAATGGACAATTTGACTAACGCTTGAATTAGACGCATTCAGAAAAAGAAATGCCGACTTGATTAAAACTTGACAAATCGATGACAAAACTGGCTAGTGAATGAGTAGACAATAGGCCTTTCGCCCCAAGAGAAATTGAGAACAATGCTAATGCAAAATTTAGGAGGAACAACAAAGAGTATTATGGTATTTTTGAAAAAAGGCCAAAAGCCATGTGAATTACCACAAGTTAGCCCCAGAATAAATTTAAAAGTACCGGGAAAGAAACAAACAAACTTTCAAACTTCTCGGTAGATAAATGCGAAGAAAGTTGAGGAAAACTAGTGTTAAAGAATTGTTAGCACAAGAACCATTTTGACTCCTAACATTTGATTGCTCACGGTGATGTTGATCTCCACTATCAGTTTGACAAAACTAATGAATATGCGAAGACTACGATAGCCTGTTTTGCACCCGCTCGTCACGATTAAAGTTAAAATTGCGAAAGAGCGAGAATTCAAACTTTTTAAAATTTCCGTGGCACCTAAACTTACAGCCTGCCACTAACGTTGTTTCGGCGACTAGATTAATTTGGGTTTATTGCCAGCAATTAATGTAAACTAGGGCTTAATAGGCCAAAAATATAAGTTGAACTGAGGACAAACCTTATATCTGTGAAGAGGCACAAGCGAATCTTAGCTGGGGATGACATTCGATCCACTCCAGAAATGACAGCGATCGTTTGAGACGAGTTTGGTCCTCCCAGTGTAAGTTAACCGTCTAAACAACATAGACTAACAGTTCAATCAACTCGAAATCAGCGTCTTCCTTTTGTACAGTTTCTCGATTAAAATTCATTCCAACTCGAGAAATACTCGTGTTGCACATGCCAAGTAGCATTACCAAAGTTTACCAAGATGTGATTATGCGCATGTTGAATTATTTTTCACAAGTTTTACTGGCCTTTGTGTTCGGTACAACAATAAAAACATATACTACTGATGTTTATTCAAGTGCAATTAACGCTTAAAATTCTACCATTCAAAGACTAAACTGTTGTTAAGCCGCTAAAATGTATAAAAAATATTTTCAAAAAAGGGAAAAGAACATCGCACTTTTTCAAACAACTATGGCCCTGGACAATCAGCGCTCAACGAAGACTGTGTGAAAACTGCTAGAAACGTTGTAATAACGATTTAAACAAAATCTTTTGATGAAATTCATTGACGCCAAGAAAGATTGAAAATTGAAAAAAAAGGTCAGCAAACATAATAAAACAGATTTTTAAAACTTTTTCAACGTTTTCTGTTCCGGAAGAAACCGGAACGGATATTCAGATATAGCATTTTTTTTATTAGCCAAGGGAATCGAATGAAAGAGTGCTAAAAGTTGCTTTTCAGCATTTCTACAGTTTTGGAAAAGACAGAGCAACTTTCTCACCCTAAAGATGATCAGGCGTTTATATTACGCCCGACAAATGCTTGATGAAAACACGCCTATATTTCCCGTGCCGCTTGGGAAATGCATCTGATTAGTCAGTTTCTGTTACTGAAACCGCGACCAAAGTTTTATTCAAGTCCCCTGAGGCCTGAAGGGTCGACCGTTCAACAAAATGCAATTTTGAATTATAGAATGGAGTTTCCTTCGCTAGTACAGCGAATTTTATATATCAGCAGCGTTTTAAGACTTTTAAGTAATGTGAAATAAAGGAAAGAAGAAGGAAAGAAATCGATCCCTTAGCTACGAGCAGTATACACTTTCTTTGAGAGTATTCCAAAACTTGAGTTGTTGGGCTGGCGAGTCTTGCCCTGTTATAGTCAGCATTCGCCTGGCCATGCCATTGCGGGTACCTCGCTTTTACCGACAACCACATTGTAAGGTGCAAATCCACTTGTAAACTTATTTGGACGAAACCAACCAATCCGTACAACCAAGGATATATATACGTCTGACAAGACCAAGCAATCCGTACAAACAAGGGTATATATACGTTGTCAAGCGTTAAAACGTCGTTACTTCGTGTGAATCGCTCCAACTGATATATCGAGTAACTCCGTACAACAACAAAAAACTCGTCACGTGATCTAAAAGGGCAGGAAGCAAGAAAACAGGGAACCCAGCCGCAACACATATGATATGGACAACAGCTAAATCACCCAAAAAACTTAAGGCCTTTGTCTGGAAGAAGCCCTCATAATTGCAAACTTACGGAACTTACGGAACTTTTTCATTTCCCGGAAGCACATTATATTGTTCTAGTTATCGTCATAACAGACATTGGGCCAACCTCATTCCCAGGGCTTTTCCGGGAAGGAGGTTCGCATGGGGTTTCATTAATTCAGTCCAACATGTGCATTGGTGCATTGAGTCAAAATTAAAAATATTTCAGTTATTGACTACAAAACTGAACCAAAAGCGGCCTTTATTAGTGACTGTCATTATTCTCCCCTTCAAGAGGGGAAAAGAAAAAATAAACTTAGAGAGAACCAAGCAGTGTTTTTAAGGTAAGAAGGTATTTTATGCATAATTACTATTGGTCATTATGGTTTACGGTCAGCTCGCCACAAGCGAAATCGCCAGCAACGAATTACTGTGAAATAATTGACACGGTTTAATACCTAGGATTACTTACCTAAGATTTTTACTTTTTCGTCAAGCTTATTCGAATTTAAATTCAACCCAAATAAAAAATCTGTCGACCTTGTTTATTTATTAGGGCATTCTTATTTCATAGTTCTATATTCATACTTCTTATATTTCTATAAACTTTTTATCATATTTTTGTTTTCTTTCTTATAATATTTGTATGTGTATATTTTTATAATACTTTGTTTTAGTATAGTTTTGACAGTTTTAACGTTTTAGGCGTATATTGATAAAGGGATTAAAGAACCTTGCGTCGAGCCCGAGACTTTAGGAACGTCTTTTGTAATGCAAATACTAATAACGCGTGTATTGGTTCTGTGAATGTAAACTTTTACATTAGAGTGATTTACAAAAAAACTGGCAGAAACTAGTCATTTCTTTGGAGGTACGCAAAGTTTTCCAGAGTTTTCCAACCCTGCCACCGATTTCAGGCGTTTGACTTGATTAAATTTCGGTCTTTATATCAGTATGGCGGTTTGTGGCAAAGTCACGGAAAAATTATGTGTTTTCGTTTGAAGTGTCTTTAAGAGATTAAAACGTAGTTGCATCCCTTGTTTACCTTCCGCGTTCCGCCGTTACTTCGACATCAGGTTCAGAGGGGCACACTCTATTGAGATTATATGATAGGTTGAAGCCATTTCATGTAAGCGTATATGACAGGCCTGTTGAAGTTTGCCTGAAAATAAATTGTTCCTGGATGTTTGTATAAAGTTAATGATTGTCAAAATTTTTACCTCCTCGCTAAATAGAAATTAAGCAACAGAATTAGGTTTTTTGAGCTGTTGTCATATTTTTTTTCAAGCCTGACAGTCTGATGATTTATTGTTCATAAAGGTCAAGATTGAGCAGGCGTTCCATATATCCAGGATGACGAGGAAGTCTTTTAATGCAACCTTTAAAAGGTAAAACAAAACACCATGAGAAGATAAAATGGATTCTGAAGAACCAAGGAAGTTAAAGGAGGGGTTCCTAGTAAAGAAGGTGAGAAACCGTTACGTGGAGAAATTCGAAAACCTAACAACTGCGTTGAAGCCAAACAACGCTTAAACAACTTGGCACGGGAACTCGGGAAATTAATGAAACTACGTACAGTAGCTGACGCTACCGGAAAAAGGAAACGATGCAGGATCCTGGGCTTGATATTGAATCGCCGGTTTGTGATGTTATTTTCTATGAAGGAGTGTTTTTCTGGATGATTTTTAGTGCATTTACCAGTAGTCAGTTGTTACAGATCAATTTTCTAACTTGTAATACAGCTAGCATAAGTTACTGAGGTACAGTCTCAGACAAAAATAGTTGGGACACTTCCATTTAACGCTGTTTTTTACCTTCTTGCCCGTCTCCTCTCCCTCCCAATGTTGTTTATCGTAGTTAACTCGTCAAATCTTGTGCACAATTATTGGCAGGGCCAGAAGACAGTAAAGTGTCCCAACAATTTTGACGGAGACTGTAGTAAATTAAGCATTGATTAATATGTGTAGAAGTAATGTTGGTGTTAATTTGTTCATTGTGATTAATCGATCATAACTAAATTTCCTTCCAGCATAAAGGTTATGTAATGCCAATTAATACCTACTTACATGTAAATGCAAACTTTTTTCAACCAAAGATAAAACAAATCAATACAAGTGGTGTTTTGATGGCAGCTCTTTTACAAATTTCCTGCTAAAGAGAAATTTAATTGGCAAGCAATCACGTAAGAACTCTATCTTAAGTGTACATTTCTAGCTGAAAATCTCTGATGAAGTAAATTAAAAGCCCACGTACAGTCTAGGCTAAATTTCTAGCGACTGAGGACTAAAAGTCTGAGTCAGTCAGGTTTGCCTTCTTCTCCTGTGTACTAAGGAAATCAGGTGCAGAAAGTGGCCAGTCATTGAACCCGACATGGGATTATACTCGCAGAAATTACTTAGAATCATAGCAAGAATAATAATAAACGAGACTGTTGAACTTGAATGCACGGCAAGTGACAAGATGAGAAATAGATTCTTAAACCGTCTGAAACAGACTGGCTGAACAGCTGAATGGCTAAAGGAAATGTTTAAATGGATGAGGTGGAACAGCCGAAAAGAAAATTTTTGAACAGATGTGGTGCTGAAGGAAATACTTGATTGGATGAGGTCAAATGGCTGAAAATTTCATCACATGCCCTTGGGTAGCTAAAAATAGAAAATTGACAAAATAGTGCATTTGTTTTCTTAGAGCCTTCCCAGGAAGGCCACTAATAGAAGCTTTTTTCCTTCTGAAAGGGTCATGTGCGTCACAACTGGAAGACCAGATGGTTCATTTTATATGATGAGACACTGGTGTACTGTAAAAAGAAAAACCAGGTTTGTTGACGTAGTTGTAGAAAAAGTGTTTGGAAAGGTCATTGATAAAGAAAATGCAAAGGAAATTAATGTTGACTGAGTGTTGGGAATCAGATGAAAAACTGCTCATTTTTGCATCCTTAATTTCTCCTTCTAAAATCATTTTGTTTGAGAAGTAATATCAAGCATTCGACACAGTGTTTCATCACCAGATGAAACACCTTGTAGATCATCAAAATACTCCGCTGTGCATCGTATTTTCAACTCTCTTCTCATTGTTTCATCATCTGGTGATGAAACACTGCGTCCCATGCTAGATATTTACTTCTCAAACTCATCAATAATTCATAAAGAAAATTCAAAGAAAATTAATGTTTAATGAGTGTTTCGATATCAGATGAAAAACTGCTCATTTTTGCATCCTTAATTTCTCCTTCAAAAACAATTTTGTTTGAGAAGAAATATCAAACATTCGACACAGTATTTCATCAGCAGATGAAACACCTCGAAGTTAGTCAAAAATACTCCGCTGCGCGTCGTATTTTCAACTCTCTTCTCAGTGTTTCATCTGGTGATGAAACACTGCATCTCATGTTTGATATATTACATCAAGCATGTGTTTTTGACTGTGAATTTGCCAAAATGTGAAAATGGCTTTGTATTGTGTTACTCCTACAGATTATGCAAGCAACTGGTGAGATTCCTCTACAAGGTTGCTTTTTAGTGTCACCATGTGCAGAATACACCAAAAAGGAGGTATTTTATTATTTCATTTTAAGTTTCTTGTGTGGTCAGGTGTCCCAAGCTCACGTTACAATGATAAAAGGAAATTTACTTTTGGTGACATGGGTGAGTCCATATTGCATTACAGGTGACAGTTGTATCAGACTTGCTCATATCACCCAAAGCACCCACCCTTGTAACATGAGGTAGGGATGCCTGTGGTGTGATTACCATGGGAACAAACATGTTCAACTGCAGGTAACTTAAGTTCAGTGCACCAAGCTGTTAAACCCTAAATGAGTGATATGGGAAAAGAAAATGGCATTGTGTGCAAGGCATTGGAAGTTTTTCCATTCTGTTCTCAAGCATATCGTACCAGCTACTTGCAACTTTTAAGAGTGATGCAACCCTCCAAATGCCATAAAGTCTTTGCTTGGTTGCCATTTGGCAACCAACTCTTTTGGTTTAGGGAGACTTTTTACAAATCAAGTCACCAGCTCCAAAATTTTATGTGCCATCATGGAAAATGGTCCCAACTTGGAGGGTTGTGATGAGACGTATGGGCATGCAATAGTGGAGGTGGGTGCAGGGGATATCCATAATCCACTGATATCTTGCCCATAAAGGATGTTGAATTTTGGTGCAGACATTAGATCTGTAACTTACATAGTCCTGTTTCTAGCCTAATACAGTAATCACTGTATTGGTGACTTGAATAAATCATAATTAATGGGAGATGCAGACCATGGGGAAATGAAGGGTGGGGTGGGTGGCATGCTCTTTTTCTCTATCCTTTCTCTAGCTCAATAGGGTAAACACTTGACCCCTACATTAGGAGGGAGATCGAGAATGGGGCTTTTCAGGATAGGAAAATGGGGTTGGCTGTCGAAGGGTCAAACGGTAAGACCAGATGGTCCAATAATTTTTCTTTTCTTTCTCATTGTGTTTTGGTGTGTAAAAATTCTAGGCTGTCTTCAGAATAACATCAAAGGATAATGTTGAATATTTAGTTCAAGCAGCAAATGATGAAGAGCGTGAGGAATGGACCACAGCAATTGCCAATGCAATCAGAAGATTAGACATCAAGTATAAGGTAACGTTAACATGCTTAGCTAAAAGCGTTTGTAATTTCCTCAGGTCCAGTTTGTCCTTTTTTAGTCTTGATGGGGAATTAAAAACTGACTCAACTGAAGTGCAGAGTTCAGTAAGAATGTTATTTTACATGCTGAGTTGCAGCAAAAATGAAGTATAGATGAATAAATAGCACTGTGTGAAAGTATTCTTGCCTAGTAGCAAGGGCTGTGCTTTAAGAAAAATTGCAGGGAGCCCAAAGCTCTTAACCCATGAAATCCAGATGTACCCAGGGGATTTCTGATCTCTCAAGGGCAAAAGTAAGTCACTGTTGTAGCTAATTTTTTAGCTGCAGTAATTTTGCTTTTTCTTTTGTTTCAACTTCATTAACATGCATTACCATACCCAAAAACAACGAAAAAACAAAAAAATTCCCTAAGATAAAAAGTTAACTACAACATCGCCATTTGGCCATCATATTCTGCAAGAGAATATATTTGCTTACTTACTTAGGTCAGGAATCATCCTGAGCTGTCCTAATAAAATCTTTCCACGTGACCTGATCGAACATGGCATCTCTTATCTCTTTGGTATTGTCCAGCTAGAGTATAGCTTTCATTTACACGTAAATGAACACTCAGGGTAATTTTTCCACAAAGAATGAAATTAAAGTTAGAATTAATATTAACCTCATTATTCATTTATTGTATTTTGCTTTAAGCATACAAAGTCTGAAGTTCCTCACAGCAGAAGTACTTACTCACAGCCAGCTTGGCAGTTTCCACCCACCCAAATAAGGTGTTATGAAATAATGTTTCCTGGTTGTTTGTGCCTGTGAACCCAAAATATCATGCCAGTTTTGGTTTAAGTTAAAGTCACCAGGAGCAGAGGCTTGATGGTGTCTACCTAATATTTTATCTTTAAGCTTTGATAGTCAGTTGATTCGGGAGTGGTAAGGTTTACTTTCCTAAGTATATGGCCAAGTGGAAGCTTCTTTTCTTTGCCAGCAATCTAAAGTGTGATTGCCACAAGAAGTCAGCCTCATGAGTTTCACAGCAGAAAAGCTGTGCAGCAAGTGAAAATGCAAACAGCCAAGCAAAGGTTGTGAAGTCTTGTGAGTTCCCACAGGCCAAATTAAATAGGGTTAAGGACTTCTTTGAATATCTCATGCTGCTCCACTTTGTATTTTTTAACTTTTAAAGTATGGTTATTCTGGTGATTCAGTTGATCATTGTGGTTCTATGCATTTGATTATTTTTTACTGAATTATTGTTGTTGACTTATTAAATAACAATACTTAAAAATTAACTTTTTTTAGAGAAATAGTAGAAGCTATGCAAGATGTTGATGCAGGAATACCTCTTGATACCCACATGTGTTACAAAGAAAATAAAGCATACAAACTCTGTTTTAATGGTGAGAATATCCTGGATAATAAATTATTACATTCTTTATTTATTCTTATTGGTTGGAAAACACTGAGCTGAGGAGTGGAAACTTACTTTTGCAGGAATTCAAGTCATTGACTGGTTACTAAAGTGGTCATTTGTACACAACAGGGATGCAGGAAGGGACTTGGCTTGTGTGTTACTAGAAGATGCCCATCTGCAACCTGTAGGACTAACAAGTACACTCTCATTCAAGCAGAAAACAGAGTTTGAAAATGCTGCCACCTTTCTTGATGACACAGATGCCCTTTACAGATTTGTAAGTAGTTTTTTTGAAGCACTGCTGTGCTTTAATAATTTTTTCTGTGATAATATAAAACGGAGTAACGTGAATGTTCTTTTTTACCAGTCTGCGCTTAGACATAGTGCTCAGAATGAACCTCTCGAGTTAGAGACTTCTGATGATTCCAGTGATTCAGAGGATGAAATCCCAAGAGATCAGGTATTACTGAAGATGAGGCAGGGTCATTTACTGATTCCTTGAAAGATGGTCAAGATTGTGCCAGGTTTAAGGCAAAGTTTTCTTGTTTAGAAACATTTGAAGCTTATAAAATATTGTTGACCCTATTTATCCAGAGACCCTATTATGATGACAGAATTAATGATACTTTACAGTCTTTAGGAAAGGAATTACAGTGTGAAATAAAACATTTTAATGGTAATTGCCTTTCAGGAACTGGCCCTGATATTTTGGTAGATTTGATTTGCTTTAATTCTAAAGTTGGTAGAGAGTAAGAGATGCTCTGGGAAAAGACCAGTCAAAATATTTACCAGTTTAAATGTTAGCCTTTTGTTTGCGTTGTCCCTGTGTGTCCCGTACTCTCCAGTATGGCGTTTTTGTACCATGCGAGTGACTAGCTGCAAAAACCTCAGAGGTGACCAAAGTCAAATGAGACAGAAATTCCAAATTTCATTTTAAAAAATGCTGAAAAACAAATATAAGTACCTTATTCTCCTTCATTTTCGCGGGAATTAAATTTCGCGAAAATTTTTTTGGCACATTTCGCGAGTCTTTAATTTCGCGATCACGGAGAACATTGTGTTTGCAGGGAATTTAATTTCACGAAATCGACAATTAAGTGACTTTATTTTTTCTTTTTTACAAAAATTGTTCATTAATCAACAGTTGAAACAAAACAAATATACTGTCCCTTAGCGGCAGCCGTATTCCTCTAAAAGTCAGTGTTACAGTAATAAAAAAAGTCTTCTTGTTCTTCTGAGTCATCATCGAGTATTGAGAGTATCGTTACATGTCCTTTCTAGGAGATCTCAACAGAACCTTCAGTCTCTTCAAATGGATCCTCAGGGGGAAGACTAAACGATTCATCTAATAGTTGGGCGATGCCAGCCTTTCCCACCCTTTAGTGATGTGACAATTTTTAAAATTTTTAAAACTAAACTAGTGAGAAGCACTCTGCAAACTGTTGCTGTAAAACTTGCTTATTCTCCTACGCGTTTCGTCCTACTAATGTAGACTTCTTCAGGGAGTTTTACAATCAAGTACTAAACGCCTGTATTTAAGCCATAATATGACTAAAACTAATGATGGTCGCAAACCTTGAAGGTTTGGCCAGATTTACGAAAAGGAACAGGCGCAGCTGTGAAATTTTTTACGCAAGGCGTGAGAAAACTTTGGGGCCACGGTTTTTGCCAAAATAAGACTAAACAAGTTTTACAGCAACAGTTTGCAGAGTGCTGCTCGCTAGTTTAGTTGAAAAAATTTTAAAAATTAACATCTAAAGTTGATAGATGATAGCTCCTTGTACTAACACCTTGTGTTAAAAGTCGTTTAGGACCCTTGAAAACACAAATACATAATTTTCTGTGTCCATTAAATTTTGCGAGATCAAAGTTGGCGTCGTTATTTTTTGCAGGTCTTTAAGTTCGCTAATTTTTTAAAATTGCGAAAATCGCTAATTTAAGAACCTGCGAAAATTAAGGAGAATAAGGTACCATTAATCTAACTTTTAGCTTAATTTTCAATTGACTGTTATCTTACACTTTGAATTGACACCTGTATTAGAGACTTACACCTTATTCTTTAAACTGAGTTGTAAACTGAAATATGAGTTCTGGCCAGACTTTCAATATTTCATATTTTACTTGACTTTTGACATCAAAATATAATGTTATATTCATTACTTGTTTCAACCAGTGTGGGGCTATCAAAGGGAATATTGTCAAGCAAGGGTTTCTTCAGAAAAAGGTACTTGTAGCCCGCATTTTCAGTATCAACATTTTCATATATGGTCCAACTTCCTGCAAGCGACCACCCAAAATGTGAAGAGTAAGTGGTTGCTTAAGGGAGGTGGTTGCTTATGAGAGTTGAACTGTTGGAGGTCTTCAATGAGAAAACGTCTGGACAAATCTAATTTTTGGAGAGAATGTATAACATGCATTTTTTTACGGGTTACAATAACAATGAATGTAAATTTTTCTCATACTCTGAGTTTTAACCTGAGTATCAGATCCTCCTTAGGGGAAAAGAAAGCCTGATACTCAAGTTATCTGAGTGGCATAGTACAGTGGACACAAAGATCAGACCATTGTATGAAGTGGTCGCTTAAGGAGGTTAAAAGCAATGGAGAATTATAACCCCGTCCCACCAACTAAAAAGTGGTCACGGACGCTTGCGAGTTTGGTCATTTACAAGAGGTTCGAACTATAAGGGTTTGGGTGGGAAAATTTTGGTGTTTTGGATAACCGATAAGTGGTCGCTTATGCGAGGTGGTTGCTTACAATAGGTGGTAGCAAGTGGAGGTTTGACTATAATTTATGTTATTAGCTTAGATTACTTTGTTTATATTGTCTTTCTTGCCTGGGAACATACTTTTGGATCTACTTTGCCAAGTGACAGAAATGTTCCATTCACTGAAATCTTTGGGTATTTCCTGGACAGTTATGCTTAAAATTAATGCAAATTAAAAACACCTTCAAATATCATTTATACTCAGCAATAATAGTCATAATAATATTTATTATTAGGGTCATGTCCGACACAACTGGAAAACAAGAAAATTTATCCTTTGTACTGAACCAACCATGTTGTTCTACTGCCGACCGTCTAAGGTAAGAAGAGTCTCAACTCAGCCTCTACTGATCAGCCAGTGTCGATGTAAGAATACTGTAAACTGCCTTTTATAACCCTTTGGCATATACATCTTCACAAGGAGTTTTAGGAGGGTTTGTAAATGCAGTTGCTTAAAGGCGAGAGGCCAAAAGAGAGTGTTTCTAAACAAGCCATTCACCATTTTGCACTTCTCCCATAATACACCTTTTTTGCCCCCCCAAAAATTTTGCATAGCCTTTGTTTCTCATCTCTCCTGGGTATATGAAAAAAAAAACCATTTTTTCAGAAAGAGCTTAGATTAGAATAGAGTAATTAAGTTAAGTTTTTAACTGGCAAATGACGTTTACTACATTAATATAGTTATCATTTTATGTCAATTTCCATTTTTTAAAATTTCCTATTTACCTACTATAAGAAAGAAAGAGTAACATGCGAATTCCTATTTCACACCAAAAAATGTCATTTTCCACCCTGGTCATTAGACCTGGCATCGGCAGAAAATACAATAATAATATTATTATTATCAATCATTACTTAGATTAGAACGCCAACAAAAAGATTTCTTGAAGTCAACGTCGAATTTGCATATTACTCTTTCTTTCTTACTCATTTGGAAATCTAACAACAAATACATTCATACACTCCTGTAGTTCCTTCAACTGAACCATGACCACTTCCAGACCGAAATGGACACAGTCTAAAACCCTTTGGGGCAGCACATATCTACATGACTTATATAAGGGAGTAGCTCACCCCCGCGGCTGTAACATTCCAAAATGAATGACCCTTTCTACATTGAAATGTTTCAATGTTTTGCTTCTCTGTTACTGTAAACTGCCCATTATAAACCCCCCTCCTCCCCCCCCCCCCCCCACCTTAACCACCCTCCTTCCATACCCCCGCCACTTCCCTTAGAAACCACGGCGACCACCCCCCCCACACAATGCCCAACGGCGCTCCACACACCCTCCTGATCACCGACAGCGGTGTTTGTTATTTTCCCTCCGACACAACCCCCCCCCCCCCCACTTATAGGCCCTCCCTGTTACAGGTCCAGGATCAGGATTTGGAGAACCGGGTGGCACACCCCCATCAAGAATTCCCACGAGTACATGTACCCGCCCGGGTATTACAGTGATGGTGTGTATTTAATTCTCCGACATAACCACCCGTTTTCTGTCATTCATTCTCCATTCTGCAATATGTCCTCTCTTTTTTCGTAGGAGTCTACTCTGGTTGGTCAAATAAAATTACTCAACGGTGAAGTAAAGACTCTAAAAAATGATGATGATCTTGCTGGAGCCGAATGGGATCAGGGTAATAATTTTCAGCCAAAAATTTTTTTACCTGTTTACTGTAATTGTTATTAGGGCTATTTATACCTGCCAACTTTTTCTGACTCAATTGCGTAAGATTTTCGTCTTATCATTACCGCCATTTCCCAAAACGTTCCAGCGGCTTCCGAACATTTCCTAAGATTTTCCGAAGACTTTCGAACGTTGCCGAAAATGTCCAAAGATGTACTGACAACCTTCGAGCACTTTTAAAGCCATTTCAAAGGCGACAATTTTAGCGTGTTGTGATAAAGTTTGGACACAAAAACACAATAAAGCGTAAACTCTTCTTGATTTTTGACAAACAAAGTATAGTGCAGTCAATTCATTTGTGTTACTTGAAGGTCTGAGAAAAAAGAAATGGAACTAAGGTCTTTGAAAGGAGGCCCTAATTTAAGCAAATCAACCGGTTTTGTTTTTGTTTAAGCATGCAATTTATCGCAATATCGCGCTCTAAAATAAATCCAAATAATACTAAGGTGATGGAGCTTTTGAGATTTTCCCCTTGATTTATAATTTTTTTCTGATGGGGTTGCTTAAAACCATTGACAGGAAGCGGGTGGGTAGCCTGTGGCTAACTCATATATTGCTGAGAAAATAAGGTATAACTGTTGGATAATCGACTACTGTGAATGTTGGTTAATTTTGTACAGGAAACAAGAAGCAGACAACTGGATATACCTTTCTTCTTCGTACAAGGAAAGGAATAAAGTACATTTTTCGAGCGGCATCTGAGGAAGACAGGATGGACTGGGTACAGGCTTTACAATCTGTTTGTGAAAATACCTGACAAGAGACTGAGGTTCTCTGCACTGGCCTGCGCATGCATGTTAGCCTGTTCCAGGCGTTCGGATTGTAGAGCGTCTGAAACAGGCTTCCTACGTGATAGAGTCGTGGGTGCGACCCCTTGTAAATTAGCTCCCAACAAGTTTGAAGTGCGCGCCGTAGTAACGGACCCAAGACCTCGAAAAAACTGCATGACAGCAGCATCCCCAACAAGTTTCTTATTTTGCTTTTCTTATCAAATAATGAGGATAAAGAGGTCAAACGAGCAGGTCAGACTGGGTCAATGATATCCATGCATTTTAAAACTCCACCAAACCGCTTATTTGTACAAGGCGGGTACGGCAGTTAAAAAGGAAACGGTAAATGGATCAAGGTGTTCATTCTGAACTTTTTACGGGGCTTGCTGTTTGCAGGGCTCAAACACTACGGGGCGAGGAGAAAAACATGAACATTTTAATGTAGCGATGCGAAAATGAGAAATGTTAGCGGCGACCAAGGTGAAAACAAGCGGCAGTAAAAAAAAAAACGCACAGGAACACATGCAATATTTCCTCTCTTGTTCCTCCATAAAAAGTGTAACTAGGAATTTCAAAGTTTCACGTTATAGCCGTTCTACGGCAAAGAAGTGTACAAAAAAATTTGCCGCACGTGCAAAGACCTATTCATTTTTTTTGCGGTTTTCGTTGCCGTCGCCGCTTCCACGATTTTATATTTTGTTTGGGTAAACTATATTTAACATTAACAAGAGCTTCGCTTTTAGCCATGACTAAATCTGTATATAGAAATACATGTACTTATTATGTCGCCCTGTCCACTTGGAGTAGATTAATTTCCAGCATATCGTATTAAGTCCAATCAGAAACTCTTAAGGACCAGAAACAAGTTTCTGGTCCAATATAGCGCCGCCTAACTCAAATACGGCGCTTATTCGAGTAAACACGAAACGCCAATGTTTCATGGCAATAGAAAATTTCTATGGTAAATGCGACGTGCGTTTGCTGCAAATGAATATACCCTTGGCCTTACAGATTTCTAGAATATTATTAGTGCCTGTAACGTCACAAGGAGGACTAGACCCTGTCTGCCTCCTTTGAATTTTTATGCGCTTAACGTGTAGGATCGTTCTACAAAATCAACTAGTGCTTCTGTACAATAATTTTGTTTTTGCGGGCATTAGTTGTCGATAGAGTTGTCATACGAAGTACATTTTATATTAAAAAAGAGAATTGTTTTATTCCAGGTTTTCAGAATTTCAGATAGTGGAGAGCGGGGCCAACCCTCTCGCCTTTTTTTTTTCCTGTTTATTTTTCTTTGCCCCGCCCTCACTATTATCATATGATGTCAACGCCTGAAACATGCTAGTGAGATTATAACCATAATTCCTTTGTATAAAAAAGTGAAAAGACGTACGTGAAAGAATAGGTTAACGAACAAATTTTTAAGCTTATACGCAGACAGTTACCGTAATATATAATTCAGCAATTGAAAATAAAACAAAGAAAAATAATAGACACGCGAGCGTCAATTTAATATTCGTAAATAACTGAGTTCAATTTCATAAGAACAACTTCCTCTAGAGGCGCTTGTAGAGACTGGCACGAGGGTATCGGTGCTTTCTCCGCTCTTCCCAACCTGCCAGCAGTGAGAGCCTCCCCAGACATGACTTACCACTGCTTACCAACCAGTATAAATAAAAGGTTCACTGCGGGGTCTAAAGTACTGGTCACATTCCACAGGTCAAGCCGAGTAGAAGTCTCTGCCCCATCCATAAATTACTAAGCCAGTCTCCCCTCGGTCTAAAAGATCATTTTGTATAGAGGTTAGGGCTAGGAGACACTTTGAGTGCAGCTGTTTAGTTATCTGTAGCACGGTGATCTGTACTCTGACCTGTGGAAAGTGACCTGTATTTTTACACCTGTCGAAAATTCACTAACCTTTTGCTGTCCCAACAATGGATTCGTATGGGTTGATCAGAAACAGGAGCCCCTCCTGTCAGAAAGCAAATCACTGTTCCGATGGCAAGCAAAAACAAAAATGTCCAAAGGAGACGATTTCTTCCACAAAACCACTTTGCAATACACCGCCACATTTTGACAACAAGACGGGCAGTTTAGCTTCCAGCCTAAGTAATTAGAGTGAGACTGACTTTTTTGCGGCCTTTATCGTCTTCTGTCCACGTAACATTACTATTCTCTAAGGCCTTTTCTCACTGAACCGTGCAAGCCATCACTTAGAATTGACATATAAAAGACGCTGTGGCTTCAAGGCAGTCCGCCGGTCAACGTTTCGTCAAAACACTACAAAATGGTTGTAGCCTTCCTGACTCCCAACTCTATATCCCTAAGTCTAGCTCGCAATATATCTACCTCTATAGAAGAAAATCTAGAAAGGAGAGTGTCGGACTGTCGGTCATTTAGAAATTTGAAAAACCTGGAACGTTTGTCGATCATTCTAATGACTAAAAGACACTTGTAGTTACAAGGCACCGTCCACAAGAATCTGGGTACCGTACAATCTTCTCCAGTCCACACGAAACCAGTGAATCAACTCACAGAAACCCCATGTTTTTGAAACCGCTCACCAAGGTATCTTATATCTTTTTTAATCCGACGGATTTGCAAATTCGTGTAGACGATTGAAACCGGGTATTTTCGAATTCCATGACTTTACAGGCCTGGATAATGAAATTCTTAAATTTTATGACAGTTCGGGTTTTTCATGACCTGTACGAACCCTGTTCAAACCTAGTTACATAAACTGACCATCCTATACATTCGTGCTCATGTTGTTGTGGCGTAAATAACAATCTGATAATCATAACTATAACAAAATTCTCAAATCTGATTGGCTATCAACTGCCCTGATTTCAGCCTTAATTGGACAATTTAATAGGACAGTACGCGTCATGCCTAAGTAATTGGACAGTACGCGCCATCAAGCGCGCGCTTAAATGGCTTTTTTTTGTCACTACTAGGAAAAAAAAATGGAATTTCTTCTGTTTTGATTTCAAAAAAGGACCTTATATATCACAAATTTTGTTAAAGTTATGATTAATTGGTAACAGAACTTGGTGTCGTCCAATTCGGTCTGTAATCATACTCGTGATTAAACAAATCGGACTCCCGCTACGCGGTCGTCCGATTTTGTTAATCTGATTACAGACCGAATTGGACTCCACTCAGTCCTGTTACCATTACTAATAGTGCTGCGTTAAATTGCCTTGCCGATGAGGTCCTATTCATATGCCTTATTGGCTTCCTTGGGCTCCCTTGCCTCATCTTTTAGTTTTTGCTTAATTTTGTTTTAAACTTGAATCAGTGGTAAAATAATAATAATAATAATAATAATAATAATAATAATAATAATAATAATAATAATAATAATTAATAATAATAATAATAATTAGTAAACGAGGCAGAAAACGCCAAACCAAATAGTGTAAAGTATGAGGAGACCTGCTCCCAAATTCCAGTTTATTGAAATCGTTTATCACAAAATTCGTAACAACTTAAATTATGATAAAATTTTTAATTCGAATAAATTATGTGTTTTAGGAATAAAAAATTATCGTCATCTGGGAGCGATTTGCTCCACTTTTCTTCGTTTCGCGTTTTCTGTGGAAAGAAAGGGAAGATGAAATCAGTCATTGCATTGCGAAAGGCAGCTTTTAGACTGTGCTTCGCAATATTTCACAGCAAAGCTGGCCTTACTATCGCTGATTTAATACTACACGTACCTTAAAACTTTCACATAAACTGCAGTTTCGTAGACTTTTCAGAGTCCCCTATTTTTTCGTAAGATCGTCAGTATCGAGCGCTTACCGTTACGGGCGGCCATCTTGGTTTCATATGTACCGAAGGGGCAGTTGATGTGAAACTCATCCAAGATGGCCGCCCGTAACGCTAAGACTTCTCGATGATCTTACGGAAAAGTAGGGGACTGTGAACAGCCTTACAGTTTCGTCACTGTACCATAAAAAACTTCAGTGATACTTACAGTCAGCCTAATAATTAAGGCTTTATAAATGACATGAGGCTTTATAATTGAGATTAGCCCGTTTATAACTCTGTATCAGGGTTCATAAGAAAAATTGCAATCATTTTTTGAGGATTTTTGAAGGACCTCATTAGCCTGAATTTCATCCGATTACTTCGAGTCGTTATTACTCCCTCAGTAAACGTCTGAATCGACCGGCCGTTAATGCCGTCCAGTGACGTCACTACTCCTTTGCTTTAATTCACGTAAAAAGTAAAACACGATTTTCAAGTGGCAAACCAAGAAATATCGTTTGGAAATGTCTACATGACACAGAACAGCTGACAGAATTACTTTGCTCTTTTCGATGGTAATTCAGGTTGTTAAAACGTTCCCCAAACTATCAACTGCATGCAGTACTTGGAACTGGTTGTAATTCAGACTCGGTCACAATCACGCAATGAAATACAAAACACACACGGAACACTTAGTTCAAAAACACAACAATTTCCTTTAATTGAAAAGAAGCTATTTGGTCCTTAACGGAGAAAAAAGAAAACAAGGAAACAAGAAAGAAAAGCTAACAGAATCATTACACTTGACTGTAAAAGCAACAAGGTCGAATGACAACATGAAATTGGCGTCAGGGAGGGAGATAATAACGACTCGAAGTAATCAGTTGAAATTCAGGCTAACTTTACGGTATCTGGCCAAGGAACCCTTTAATCATTTCGAGTACTTCAGAAACAAGTCATGCCCTTTCCTAGCACCAAAAGAAAGTCGGACGTGCGTGCTCACCATTTTCCCCGTGCTTTTTGAGCGGGAAATTAACCAATCACAAGCGTAGTAACGCGTGGCAAGTGGTGACGCAAGTGTTTGTTGCAAAACCATGGATAGGGTCTTTTTTTTTACGCAACACATCGCGTTTGTTTCATATTCTCTCTCACTTGAGATCCTGGGACCGAACTGAAATCCGGCTTACCTGGTTGATTTGTGAGAGCAGAGTAGACGGTTTTGTTTGAAACAGGATGAAAAGGCTTGGAGAAGGAGGATTGCTTATCAATGCTTCTGTAGTTGCTGGTGTTGTTACTTGAATGTGCGGAGTTAATTGGGGCCGATACACGATGACTGCTTCTGTTATCGATGCTAGAATAAGAAATAATTAAAACTGTATTAACAGTGGGAAATATCTACAATGCTCATCGACCAACGGCCAATTTTAAAGGGGAGATGTCAATTGATTTTTGAAAATTTCAACTATAAACCAGTTCACCCGGACGATCAAACTCAACCTTTTTATAAACCAGCAAGTCACAGAGTTCACTGAAATCTCAAAACGTGGTTTTTATACTCAGAAGAAAACGGGAAAGCCAAAAGGTGTGTACCCTGGGTACCAGAGACTTTTCATGCGCGGTTTCCTGTTTCGGTCAAGTCTTATAAGTGACCCGAAAGTTTTTTCTGAAGGCTTCGCCGCTCGTTTTCGGCCGAAGGCGTGTCGGCCTGCGGCCGACACCCGGCGAAAGCTCCTCGTCGCACGCGAGAAAAAACCTCTGGTACCCAGGGTAAAAGGTGTGTCGTCCAGGAAAGGATTAACGTCAACTGATAAAATTGAAAAGCGAACTTATTATTCAAGGGAATGTCACCGTGGGCGCGATCCATTCGACCAAAATTTCCGGAATTTTCGGTCCAAAAAAAGAGCATGTGAAGTAACATTATTAAAATGAAGTTGACTGAAGAGAAACGTTATCGCAATTTTTGCTAGCGGTTGTTTCCTTCCGAAGTGAGACTCAATGTGTTGGGAATGTGCATAATGTAAGCAGTACGCGTGTTGCTGAGTTCGACATCCTCACGGAGAACCTGATAGTGGATGTTTAAATTGTGCTTACTCACTTTGATTTCCATTTAAACGCTTTCTTTATCACATTGTGCCCTAAATGTGATATCTCGATGTAAATTATGTAAAAACGGATTTTTTAATACTTTCTTCCCCCTTTCACATACATTCTATTTTGAAACTCGCCCCAGTCCTCTCTCAAAAATCGGAGAAAATGCATTTGGTGTGCACTTTCTGCAGCTCTACCGCAAAAACGAGTACGGTGACCCCCATCTTTTATTTCATGATTTTAATAAGGACAGTGCTTCCTTTCGATGACAAAAAAACTGGCACAAATCTATGTTCAGTTTTTTGGCAATTTTACTAAATTGTATGGATTGAGCTATCACGGGTCGAATAGAGCGTGTCCAATTTAATCCTACTTTGGAGCGTAAAGTAAAAACAAGGGCACTAAAAGGCATTTTTCTGGTACGTAAGTGGATAAACAATGCATTCAAGTCAAATTCTGTGCGATACCACATGCATCATTGAAAAAATCTCTCCTTTTTGATTAGTTTTGGGCTGCGCGCGGTTTTTGTCAAAGGGTCCAACATAGCCGTATTTGTCAGCATTGTGACGTCAAAACGAGCACGGTGACCCCCACTTTTTGTTACTTTTTTATCATCTTCTTGACTTGTTACATCAGTGTACCAAGTTTCATCTACAATCTATGTTAGGTTCTTTTACTAGGGAATTACCCTTTTTACTCCAGAAAAGAAATTGAGGGATGGATTCTTCTTGAACATGACAACTTTTCCACGAGACAAAATCTTTACTATGCACGACAAAATGAGTGATGTAAACTGTTCAAAGTACCCTACACATTTTCGTAAAGAAGAACAAAAGTATTTTATTTTATTTAACTATTATGATTATACATACCCAGTCAGTTTTACATCATTCTCCTCAAGAGGATGGTTTTCCAGGTTACTTTCCTCTGGTCTCATTAAGAATTCATCACTGCAACATATGAGAGCCTCTTCAAATCCGAATGACTGATTCCATAGCATTGGATCATCTATTGAGACAAATATTTGTGGTTATTCTTTTCTTCAAGCATAGAAAGATATGTAACAACCAGGGGTTGAACTTTACAAAAATAGCAAAAATAAATTGTAACTCCACAGGGTGCAGAGAAAGTCAGTTTTACGGGATGAGTAGAAGTGATTACAGTTTTTCTACTGTAATTTGAATTCTGCTGAAAACTTCACTTGTTTATTGGGCAAGTTAAGAACAGCATTGACTAGCCCAATAGCAAAATCCACCAGTTCTGAGCTCTCAAGACATGACGTTCTTTGCATGCTGCTCTAATAATAAAATTGAGAATGATAAAATTGGCCAATAACAGGTCATGTTGACAACGAAGCTAGCAGACTTGAATAATTTATTGATTAGCCAATCAAAAAAAGCAAGATCTGTTTGAATTTCAAAAAGTTGGTGGTTCCACTTGAGTTTCTTGCATTGTTAAACAGTATGACAATGTGATAGGTCACCTTCTGGAATGACGCTGTAATTGTCCTGTTGTGGTGTAGCATCACCCATTGATGTAAGTGACCTGCAGTCTATGGGTGTGGTCACTGAAGAGGTACAATGTTTTCTGGCAAGGGGTACTGCAGGGGTAGAGGCTGCAACAGGTTTTCTCAGAGGAAGATGGGGAGGCCCAGTCTTTGGTGAATTAAGATCTTCCAGTGGAGTTCTAACTTCTTTTCTTGCCACAGGTTTTAAGGCATTAGTGTTTGGTGTAACATATTTTGTAGTTTCTGAGGTGAGTTCATCAGAATTTTTTCCAGAGATTTTGGAAGTAGAAATGACTTGAGCCTGACAAGTGTTGCCGTTACAATCATCTAGGGAAAAAGAAACATGAGGTTGTTGCTTTTTTTCATTTTCATTTTTTTTTTGGAATAGTATCTGCTAACAAAAGGCTGATTTAGTACTTGCTGAACATAAATTTCAATACAGCTGACAACATAAATAGAACTTTCCAATAAGTCTCAATGGTGTAAGACTAACTTACACAATAATGTCTTGTGTCATAGCCAGACTTTTAATTTATGAGCTTTTCTTGAAGTTAATGTCTGAATAATGATATGACTTGTAAATTTACTGTAAAGGGTGATGATTATAATCACTATGCTTTTCGCACGAACTTGAGTGTCCTTCTTTTAAACTAGTCAGCATCGAAAAATAAAGTAGTATTAATAAAGTACAGCACATTTTTCATTGTGTATCGTTCAGTAATAGTATAGCATATGAAGAAGCAGACGTAATATATACTTGCTGTGGTTTCACTTGTCTTCTCAGATTGTTGGATGTGGTTGACGGTAACTTTTGTTGTCAGACCTTGACCAGGCCTCCTCATGTGGTTTAAATCATACTCAGCATTTAACTAAAGTGTGAGAGAATTAAGAAAAATTTATTACTGTTAACAAGACTGTTTTCTTCACATTTTCCCTTGATAGTCCCACCCTTTTGATTCCTGTAAAAATCAGAATATATAGCAATGTACTCAGACCAATAAGATATATTCTGTTTATCCCACTGGGCATTTGGATGATAGTTCCATTTTTTTGCTCTAAGTTTCTATAAGAAGGATTTACATCATTCTCCAATTGGGATTCTACACTTAATTATTCTTATTGGAAAAATACAAGATACATTGTGTATAAAGTAGGCTTGAGTTTTAAAAACTTACTGATTTGTGTTGTTTTGTAATGTATTTTAAGTAATCTTTGTCACTTATACAATTGCCAAGTGACTGTCCAAAGCTCCTACGAGGCAAATTAAAATAAAATTTATTATAACTTGGAGTATCCTTTCCTCATGAAGGTACATCACAATGATTTCATTTACAATCCAACCTTTTTATATATATGTCTCGGCTGTAGGTAAAATCCATTCCTCACATTAAAGCAGTATTCAACCTACATGTAATTTGACTCAGAATTTCCTTAGCTTCCTAGCCTTGATTATTAATGACCTTCACATTCTAAGATGAGGACAACTAGGATGGCGAGATTTTCTTGATACTACATAGTGTGCATGCATGAACCAGTGTCATTTTGGCAGGAAAATTTGATAGCCTTTTGTGTTTTAGTTGCAGAAGCAAGTTGTCAAATGTTAGTAGTTTTATCATTTTGCAATCCTGAGAGGGCTTAACCTCCTTTAATAAAAATAACCATGTTAATTTTTCTGCTTAAACTCATCACTAATACATTAGCTTGGGCACTGGTGCCTACAAAGTTGGTGGAGCTGGACAATGCTCTAGCATGAAGAGGAGGTATCCATGGCAAGCCTGCGAGTGGCCCTTAACAGGCACCATCACACTGAACAATTCAGTGGAATACTTCCTGACCAATACTAACATGGGCCCAGTTGTTCGAAGGCCGATTAGTGCTAACCCAGGGTTAAATTTTAACCTGGGTTTCTAAGTTTTTCTTTTGTTCAAAAGCATTTTCCTGGATAATTTTCTCTATTCTTTATAGAGCATCCAATCATCATATTGCAGGCAAAAAAAATAAAACTGAATTTGCTTTTTAAGCTTTCATATTTGAATTCAAATCTCGAACTAACCCTGGGTTATCTTCACCTGGCTTTGAACAACCCGGCCCTGGCCCTTACCTCAAGCGGGAGGGAGGGATGGGAAAAACCAAAGCGCAAAATGGCACGGAAACAGCAAGCTATTGCAAAACACTTTGCAAAGAACTGCAAGCAAGCAACTGGGTATACAAGTCATGAGGTACCCTCGCTAAAGGCATTGGGCCACCCTCAGTATAGCTGGAAAAACTGCTGATCAGCATTGCTTCGAGGTTAACTTTACCTAAATTACATTTAGCCACACTGAAAAAAAGTACAATTATGAAGCTTTCCAGGGTGTATATTTTTTGGGACTGTGAAAAACGTTTTAGTTAAATCTTGTCCCCATAATGGCCCTCATCCTCAAATCTAAAAGGTATCTATTATTCATGGGAGAAAAGGAAATTCTTCTTTAATGTGAGGACAGAATTTTACCTACACGTCCACCTGACTTGAAAGTGACCACTCACAGTGTACCCAAAATACCACATATTAATATTTTTTCGGTCAAAGTAATGCGATTGTAGCTGAAACCTTGTGTGAGGGACCTCCTATATGTGAATCCTGCATTTTGTCTCATGGTGGAGAAAACACTGACACCCAGTCCATGGACTACCACCATGGACTACCCTAAAATGGAGTACACTCCTGAAGTTTAGTTATTAGGGTTAGGAAACTAAGTGAATCAAGTCTCAGGTCAGTTTTCCCAGTATAATAGGCTGATTTAGCAACAGAACAGGAACGTCAGTTGACAACGGTGCGCGCAAATCAAACTACAGGCTTGACCAATGGCAGAGCGGCAAATTGAGGACCGGAAGTAGTGTTTAGCCCTTCCTGTGCACTTTCCTGTCGTCAACTGACGTTCTCGTCCCGTTGCTAAATCAGCCTATTGACCCTAAATGGAACCTGATTCACTCAGTTTTCTAACCCTAATCACTAAACTTCAACGTGGTAGTGCACTTTAGGGTGGACTGGGAGTCGGTGTTTTGTCTAACAGCCTAAAGCAAACTTACTTGAGGGCTCTTTTTAGACCATCAGTAACTGCCTCTTTTCTTGCCTTTTCAAGTGATAAAGCTTTGGATTTCATTCCTTCTGAGACTCCATAACCAATATCTTCATGGTAAACGCCATCCTACAACAATGTTTAAAAAAATAAATAAAAAAGGAATCAATGTCAGTATTCCAAGGTGTTGTAGTAATAATTTTGCAAAACTTTGCAAAGTTCTCTATCCTTGTCTCCATACAATATCTTGTGTTTGGAGAAAAAAAATGTCAGACTGTGTGACAAAGTCTTAATATAGATCTTGCTAAACAAGACAGCAAGAATTGAACCTTATAGAGAGCTCTTGCGGCAGGTCTCAATGATTTTTAGTAAAAAGAGTGATTTTTGCATTGAAATAAGTCATACCTTTAACTGAACTTTTACAAAAGCACTCACTCCGACATAATACTTGTTTGCCACCTGATCAACAAAGTCTTGGTTGGGAGAAGAAAGAAACCATTGAATTGTTTAAGGTATCATGTGAAGGGTGTAAAGTATGAATTGCAAACAAGTAATTCTGCTGATCATTACCTAAAACATTTTCGTATAAATGCTCACCTATATTTTGGTGGGTTACTGAATGCGACCATCCATTGAAGCCAAATGTTTCATTTGCCAGATTTATGAGTTTCCATCCTTCCACATAAGCAAGCTTAATACCGGTACAAAATAATAAACATGTTAGCTTATAGGTAGCTATACCGGATAGATGGTTGTTTGAAAGACACATGCATAGATTGTAGCTGTAGCTGCGGAGATATTAGCAATTTTGCATTCAACAAATTCGAAGTTAAATAAAGTCTTTGATTGATTGACTGTTTCTTTACAACACAGCACAATTAAAAGCAGATTAATTGATATTTACTTTCTGTCCACCTGCCCCTGCTCTTTGGCTGATATATTCTGGCCCAAGCTTTTGATTTAAGGCGTTCTGAATTGCCTCTTGTTCCGATGGAGTAAAATTTACCTGGGAAAGATGAAATTCATTATTAAAAGCTACATAGGTTGTAAACTTAATGATTTACAGCGGATCTGCTGTCTTTAAGAGATACCTACGTTTCCGAATGAAACCCCAGCTGCCTTGTCAGTATTACACATCGTGTTTAAACACTTATAGAGAATGATTAAACTACTATTTCAATTTTATACAAAAAAGTTTAGAAGTCAACAGAAAGAAAACTTGTGGATGTCTATTTGAAAATTTGAAAACATTGATTTTTTGACCAATCAGAATCCAAAATGTGCAAGGGCGTCTGGGATACAAAATGACATCAAGTTCTACGAACCAATAAAATAAAGGTACCTTATCCGGGAGATTGTACGATAAAATGGCGTCGAATTCGAAGAAGTAGTGCCTTTCCTTGTTTTCTGGGTTCACGAAACAATCTCTTGAGATATATCATCGCGAAAGACAAAGACTGTTTTTGGTGTAAGCTGATTAAACCTTGAACTTTGCTTCGAAGTGTAGATTTTCATGGCGAAAAGCGAGGACAGTGGTAAGCTTAACATTCTTCTTTAAATATAAGCTTAAGTTTATTAAAAGGTCGGCAGATAAGGCTGTTTGTAATAAGCAGTTTAAAGCGCAAGGTTGCCCCAAGAGATACGTGATATAAAGTTTGTGATACTTACATGAACATGTTAATTGAGAGAATCAACAAAATTCAAAATTGATAACCATATTTGATGCACCTCCCCTGCGGGGGGAGGGGGGACCCCTGCAAGGGAGATTATTTGTAGAGGACCCTGTGATCCTTTATGGGGGCTCAGAGCAATCGAAGCTAAGAAATTCCTCCTTGTAGAAGGAATAACAAGATGGGAATGGATTTGAATAACAATACCTGAGATTATGCAGTCTGTCGAGTCTGCCATTATTTTCACCATGAGGGGAGAAGTAAACCTATGATCTTCCGGACAAGTTGTGTATATATCATTGATTTAAGACAACTTGAAATCAACTTTTAGCTTTTATCAATGAAATAAAATGGATAATTAAGCCTTATTATTTTTGGCCGATTATTTATACCAGAGACAAATTATTTGTCTAAGGTGGATAATTAGTTTAGATATAAATCTGGTGTTCAGGCAGGTTTTAGCTTATCTTATAGATGTGCTAACAGGCCTGAGATGGTTATTCCGTCTCAAAATTTAAAAAACGAAACGGAGGTGGATTTCTGTTCAGTTTTGACTTGAGGAGACTGCTCCCTTTCTTCTCCCTTCGTTGAAACTAAAAATCCCTCTATATTCATCCCACGAATTTATACCTAGACAAATTATACAAATTATTTGTCTATCTCTAGTATAAATTCAGCCATTCACTCAAAATATTTCACCATTTCCAATCAGCCCATTCCCCTGGCTAATTTTGTATAACCAAGTCAATACACAATCAATACAATGGTTTTTTTTCCTCACCATAAAATCACAACCTTCTGTCCAGGAAGTGGCCCAGCAGCTACAATCGGCGACAAAATTGTTAAGACATTGTACTCAAATAGGGTAACTTCAGGGAACAAAAGAATCCGCACCCCTCCCCTGTCCCCTCCGTTCAAAGTTGGGGTGTTTGTTGTTTTCTGTAGGTAGCTCAAACATCGGCACAACATTGCATGGAGGGGATGGGGGACGAAAAGCTATATTTCCTCCTTCTGAGGTCAGTAAAACGTAAAAAAGCCCAGTTTAGGGCAAAGTGTCTCAACTCTTTTTGTCGCCGATTGTAGCTATTTATGCATGAGTGAACTAAAAAAGTGGCAAAAGAGTTCACAGCTATCCAAAGATGAAATAACCGAATTTTTCACTAAAACTGAACGGAAGTTTAGTTTTCTGTTTTTCAAACTTCATTTTAGGTGTTAAAAGTGCAAGGGTACGGTTGGATGTGTTGTTGAAGGATCTTAGCAAGAAAACCGAAGAAAGGTAAAGTTTTATTGGTGTAATATACCACATCACCTCGGTCAAAACATGAAAAATAAATCTATTATTACAATCTATTTTGATGGTTTTCAGTAGCTAGTATATATTATGAACCTGTTGGATATTCTGCTATTGCAGCAGGTCTTCAGTTTTTTTTGAAGGGATTGCTTGATTTTGGAGATCACTACATTGCGATCAACCATTTATTAAATCTGATGATTTAAGAGGGTTGTCACTGCCTTTTGTTGTAGCATTTGCAGATTTTTAGAGTCTTCTGAAAATAATTTGAGAGTTTTGTTAAATTTGCTTATGTTATTTCAGTAGTGAGGATGAAACAAGTTCTACAGTGGCAAGGTCAGTAGATGTATTTTTAATTGAAAAGCCAAAACTGTTCCAGAAAAATGACTATTATTACTATTATTAACCTCTGAACAAACTCTCATGTGAATTATTTTATGGTGTAAAAGTCATAATATCTGCCAATTTTTTCTGAGTCAAATGCATGAGGTTTTCGTCTTGTCATGACTGGTAGTCCCAAAAACTTTTCAGCGACTTCTGACAATTTTTTGAATAATGACTTTTTGGCTTGGGATTGTGCTTGGTATCATAAGACAAACCAGGTGCATTTTTTTCTGATCACTGGTTTCTAACATTTTGATTTTCAGTACTGTGTCATTTCAAATGCCACCGCCATCCACTCCAACAAAAAGGTATGTTTTACTGACACACTCTGGTCCAAATTAGATTCTTAGATCATTGACCTAAAGTAATTTTAATATATCTCACATAGCCTTAATGAAAATAAACGAAAATTACAAAATGGAAATAAAAAACATTTTTTGTTTAATGGGAAGTTTTTAATTTAAGACTGACTTCAGCTTCCAGCGGATCTCTCTCTCTCTCTCTCTCTCTCTCTCTTTTGCCTCTCTAAAATATTTTAAAATTCTCAATGTTCAAAGTTTTAGAGTTTTTTGATACTCGAAATAATGAGCAAAAGCTAACATTTTTTGTGTGTTTGATGCCTCTTCTTTGTGTTTTTAGAAGTGTTTTTCGTAAAAGATCCAATAGTCAGTTGCTTGTTGAAGCATCTAACAAGAAAAATTAAACTTAAAAACATTAATCGTCTTTTCGTTTTTCTTGAAGCCTTATTATCGCACTATTGTTATGACACTGTATATTCTTTCTAACCTCTAATATCTTTTTGTTTTTTATTGCTTTACATTTGAAGGAGTGCCTCAGGTATGTTTCTTTATTTATTAGATGTGCATGAAGAAACACTTTTCCTCTGTCAAGAATTCTAACTGTTTTTGCTGGAGCCTGCATAACAGGTGCTATTATTTCACATTTTTCAGGCTAGCACAAAATGTGGATGTGGAGTGCCAGACATGAGCAACAGGAGAATACGCAGAGAAAATCACTTTTTCTGTGTCTTGTGCCTTCCTCCTTCATATGTGTCTCAAGCTCCACATCACTTCGTGCTCACCTGAAAAGTGCTAAAGAATAGCACCTGTTCTGCAAGCTATTTTAGCTGTCACAGCTAATTTACCACTGTTCAAAATGTCTTTGGGCAACATTAGTTTCAACCATCTTTTTCTTGTTTTAATTTCCAAATTGTATAATGTAATGTTATTAACTAATTTTTCTATTGTTTTCATGTCTTAGGGAAAACCCCACGAAAAAGACGCAAGAAAGATATGGGAGTTGATGGTAAGTGAACATTTACACATCTATTGACTATTATGCTGAGCTAAATAGTAATTATTAATGTTATTTCTTTCTTAAATATCTCTCTCACCTTTTCTATGTGAGATCAATTTCTAGAATTATAGCTGAGGTGAAATTTTCCTTACAAAATATTCCTTTTTGGAAAAGTCCACCAGATGTGGCTCAAAGAACAAATCAGATATTAAAGGTTACTTGCAAAATTTGTACTACATATTGTGCACATTCCACATGTACATACTGTCTCGTGCTAGGAATTCCCTTCACTATCATTTGTTGATCAATACAAGTACTTGGGCTCTAAATATCATGATATTTTGGGTAATGTTCATGGGTAAAATGGTTATGTTTTGACTTCTCTTTTTTGTCCCTAGATGGAGAAAGTGGTAGTCAAAATCGTAAGTTCATAAGAATGTGAAAAATACTAAATCTTCCAATTTTTTGATATATTATTTTGAGCTCCTTTTACTTTGGAGGTATGTAACTGATTATTCTTTTATCTTTCTCTTTTCTTGGTTTTTGTCTTGGCCTTGCCTTGTGGAACTTCTTACAGCAAGGTGAGTTTACTCTTGTCTTTGATCATGGACAGTGGGGTGATTATCAAACAATATTAGACATTAACAAAGTAAGCAACTTTTTTCTTTTAGCTTTGTTATGAAGCTGTTTGACCGCAGTGTGGACTTTGCCCAGTTCAGTGAGGACACACCACTGTATGCTTTAGCAAGAGCATGGATGCAGAATAAACCATATGGAACAAAGTTGTCTGATTCGCAGGATGGCAATCTTGATGGTGACTCTCCTTCAAACAGTCAAGAGAGTACTTTGACTTCCTCCTCTCACAGTGTTAGTAGAAAATGTTGTTGCGCCTATGTTTCCAGTATTGACAGTACAATGTTTTGTGGAAGATGTGACCACAAGGCAATGACTTTACTTTTCTTTTCCTGAACTTCAATACAGTCTTTTAGAATTCAACTTCAGAAAAATTTGCAAATTTGACAAATTAAATGAGTTGAAATTAGCGTGACAACTTTTGAAGCAGCACAAATTCACTTGGCAATGGCAATGGCCTGTACATCAGAAACCTTTTTCGGCATTATGATTTCTAGATTGTAGCTTGTATTGGATGAATGAATCTTATTATTTGAATCTTGTTATTTCTCAGTAAGATCAAGTACCGGTAAGTTATCAAGTATACAAGTTTTAATCCTAGAACAGCTATCTCACTTGTATGGACCCTTCTTAATTACGGTGTTTGCTCTGGTGGAAGTGATTTCTTTTATGTTACAGTTTCCAGAAGTGATTGCAGATTAGCTAAAGCAAAATTGCATTCTTATGTACAATATGGGTCTAGTTAAGCTCACGTGATGAATTAACTTTTTATTATTGATTAATATGAAATATTTTTCTCTAGAATGGTGAAGGGGATCCAAGTAATGTCTACAGGTAATTGCATGCTAAAACCCTTTAATACCCTGTGAATAAATAAATAAGTAAATAAACAATAAAAAAATTAGAGGTAGCACTTCCACTAAGTGGTTCTTCGTCTACCTGATGATTCCTGGTCAAATTGGAATTTGAAAGTGTTGTTGAAAGCAAAGGAGAGAACCGGTAAACAAATAATCACGACCCACATATGTTGTTGATGCCGAGATTTGATCCCAGGTCACATTGATGGAAGGTGAGTACTCTCACCATTGTGCCACCCTTGCTTTCTTGTGAAGACTGATTCAATAGATTCCATCTGAACAGGAATATTTTCCACAGGCTTTCAAGATAGTGTACAAATAACAGCAACAAAGAAAGGTATTGCCCTATAAGCAACCATATTAACCCTGGCTTTAAAACGTAAGATCAACATGTGAATTCTAATTTGTTGCCACTATTCATTTCCTACAGAAGTAGTGGGGAAAAGTTGATAAATTCATCTTGTGTGATCATGTCTGTAATTCTCATGAGCACTCTGTTTTACAAAGCATTGATATTACAAGGAGAAATTTGATGCTGATCACTCTTACAGCTTAAAGGGTTAAGGGCCGAGCTTTAGCAGAGCTGGTTGGCCCATGGTGCCCAACTTTTCCTCTCTGATGAAATCTTTATAAAAATTATATGCTGGGCACCCTAGATTTTACAGGTTCAGAGCACTTGCCCCCTTCAATTTTCCTTAGAGAACAGCCTTGATGTTTACTAATTTGTATATTATGTCAAGTTTTCCAGATCCAATCAAATCAGTTGAAGACTTTGACATGAACGTTTGTCATCCTGATGAACCACTGTCCCTTGACATTCATTATGTAAGTATAATTTCCTATAAAACAACAACTATTAATTTGGTGTTTAAATAAAGCTGCATTCTGTGGCAACCCACAAGGCTGGTTGTTATGGCAGCATTATTTTTCATGAAGAAATGTTTCTATTTCCAAAGACCTAGGAGGCCTTAAATAGAGAATCATTTGATTAAAAAAACTTACATTTCATTTCTAAGAGTTTGTTGAGACACTTTGGCAAAATAATGTATATTAAATTATTAGTTAAATCAAAAATGTAACAAAGTTAACTGCCACAAGCATAGCCATATCTGCCACTCCCCCCTCAAACACACAACTGTAGGCTCCCGTGGAACATTATTGCTTCATCACAGCAGGATCGTCAAGTTTCTTTAGTGGTTTTCGTAGCAGTTGTGCTGGATTGGAGTGGTTTATAGCGATTGTTTTAGTATTCACCCACCCCACCCTCTATATTCCTCCTCCACTAGTTGATTTATCAGTGTGATGGGTGCACGGAATGGGGGCTGATGGCTGGGTTGTGGGAATTTGCCAGCCATGGGAGCAGATTCTATCTAGGGACTGGCTGGCCTCAGTGGATGCCCCTGGATACCCCAGGCACCCACCGTCCATTTAGCTGGGCAGCCAGTGAAATGGTGATCAAAACAAACTCGATCCTTCTTACCCCTAAGAAAAGTTTGCTTGCCGTGTTGTTTCCTACAAGTAGGAGGGGCTTAGCTGTGATTTTTCAAAGGGGTGGTGGAAGGGGTCAAACTATAAAACATTCAGGGTACTTACCGGATTTTCACGTCAACATCCATGCTGTGATTTTATTTAAAGTGCAGTAAATTTTTGGGGGTGTTGCTTATTTGAGCACCATTTACTGAAGTAAATATAGCACATATTTTAATGACCCACCCACTTAGCTGTAGCAGTACAGACATAATTTGCTTTATTCTTATTCTTCAAATTCTTTTAAGTTTAACCAAAGTTTTGTTTACTCCCAAAAGGACCTTAACAAAGCACCTTCACTGAATGACCTAAAGCGAAACCACATTGAAAGGTGGAAGAAAGTTAAAAGCAAGTAAGGAATGAGTTAGAAACAAATTTGACTCAAGTTATTTGTAGTGTACTGTTCTTTCAGATTAATCATAGCTTTGAATAATGGTTTTATAATTTGAAGCTTTGGTGACCATTAAACTGTGTACTCGCAAACGTTGACTATTTCCGGTCGTCGGGTGCAGAGAAGGGATGTCCGGAAACACGTCTGTGTTTGTGGGTTACTGTGATAAGGGTCCCAAGGGAGTGTGGCAAGGAATACAGGAGATTCACTTACTTCCCTCCCCGCCCCTTTTTTCACACTTTTTAGCTTTGTGCCGTTTAGACGGGATAGTTTGCGTCTTATTTAGGACGCGCCTAATGAAAGACGCGCCTTATTTTTCCTCGTATAAATGGCCCTTTTGTCTTTGTCCTATACCCCACAAGATAGTCTAAGAGGGCCTGTTTACAGGCTAGTAAGCTCCATTTTCTTCATTAGAGAGCTTTCGATTCTAAGACGAGTACGACAACAAGGACGAGAGTTTTTCTCAGTAGTAAGTGGTGCTCACGCGTGAACCAGCGTCATTTTGGCGGGAAAACGTGGTAGCCGTCGTCATTCTACTACATGTCTTAACCCATTCGCTCCTAGAGATTTTGCCGAAAAACGCGTTTTGAAGCTAGTCGAGTGGTTTTCTGGTCACTGTCATGCTATAAAGAGCTAAAACTTACCACAAACTGGTTTACAGGTCGAACACTTCGCGGCCTTGTGATCCAGATACAAAATATCAGCTTGCGAAGTTCGGGCATGCGCAGAAAGCAAAACTTTCTCTCCTCCCTTCTTTTTTCGCTTTTCTTGCCTCATTTTTTTTTCTCTTGCTGGGCATTTAGTGGGCTTCATTTTGGTGGGAAGAGTTTTTAGGAAAGCTTTTAGGATCTTAGGATTAGGTGAAAGGAAAGGTAGGTGGGTAATGGAACAAGATTTTCATGGAGATTTTCAGGTCAATGTCACGTGGTTTTTTGCTTGTTTCTCCGGTGTCCTTGACTGAATTGTGCTCATTCTGGTATGGGTTGAAAGATCTCTTCACTCTGCACAAGTTAGTGAAGAAAGTTGTCCTTGACCGTTAAAACTGATGACGTCACAATG